AACCTTTTTGTACAACTAGGCCAATTTAATATCCGCCTACCTAATATCCCTAATTAATTATATTAAACCTTTACTAATTGAAGGGATACTGTAGCAACTGTAAGGTCTTTCTAAGCAATTTCCTCCACTGTCGCTATCAGCAATATTTAATTGCAAGAAATTGTCAGGAACACAGCTATAAAATATAAAAAGTACTTATATAAAAAAAATAGTATCAAAAATGTAATTACCACAAGGAGACTTTGTACAAAAGTCGATTGCTTGGGTACTTCTGTCCCATTCGTGTTTCAACCGTAAAGTAATTGTATTTGCATGGCTGTATTTCGGTTTAAAGGGTGTGGTGTATATGGCGTGAATTTACTGGGTACAGAGGAATGACACCCGAGTTCTCAGGAATGGTAACGCATGGGGGGTATCATGGGTGAAACAGTATAGGTACTCTGTTATGTCCATGGTACTGCTCATGTCTATAGGCGACGGTTACCACTTTCCATCAGATGGGCCGTCAGCTTTGCCATTCTAAGTTGTATAAAAAAAAAAATAATAAAGTGGGTTAGCTAGGTTGTCATCCGAAACAAATTGAAATATATTCAAGAAATGTAAACATTTAAATTTCCTATTTCCACTGAATCATTATTCATTAATAATTCTTAATGTTTTCTCTTGTTGGAAATTAGAATCTATCTGAATATTAAACTGTAAATAATAAATAATTATTTACAAATCTTTTCCATTTATTATTCACAAGCTGCCTGCGTTTGGAGAGATTGACAAATGTTTGCCTTTTGGTTTATTATTGTTTCATGTGAGAATAACAGATTAAGAACAAGAAAAACAACGAGTAATACATAGACGTGACATAATTATATGTATATCAATGAATTTTTAAATTAATATGTTATTAAAAAATTGAAATATTTACGTACTAAATTAAATAAAGTTACTAAAATATTTTAAAAGTTATTTCAAGATAACATACCCCTTTCGTGTTAAACCTTTTCGAAAATACCATCTGCGATGCTGTCCCATAAACTTTTTTCGATATATATTTCACGAACTCCATTTCAATATTTATAGCTCGAGTGAAATAGGCTCCCTGATTCTGGCTAAATATCCATTTAGAGTTCTGGATGAAATTTATCTAGGCATTATATGCCATTTGGGTTTATTTTTGAATGACTTTGAAACGGCGATTCCCAATTCATCAGATTTTATTTTGTGTCTATATTACACAATTACGTCGCCCTTTCTAATTTATCCATAGGGTTCTCCAGTGTTGGTTGAATTTGAAAATTATGACAATGAAGCTGCCGTTTTTAAAATAAAATCTGTTTTTGGGAGATATTTAAGAAAAAGAAGTCTTAATAATACCAATAGATACAAAAACAATAATTTTTAGCAATTTTGTCACTCTGTCTGTCTGTTTGTTTCGGTATCACATAAAAACTACTGCATGTAATTGATTACGATTTTCACAGTTATATTCTTGAAGGTCTAATTGAAAAACTAGTATATGTTTTATCTTGATACGCCATCTAAAAATGGTCTCTTCCAATAGTTGTCCTATTTTTGAAATCCAAGCACGAAGCACCTGGAAAAAAGTTAATTTGTAATAAAAAGTCATCTTATCAGTACTTAACTACGAGTACATGCTATAAATATACTATTTATTGAAATTCAATCCTGTTTCACAATAAATCCTTTTAAAAATGCTATGTATATAGTATTGGTCAATTCTCTAACCTGATTTCGACATACATGTAATATTTATTTTTATGTAAGAACCCTAAATTGAAATTCAGCCGGAGTCGGAGAGTACTGAGTGCTGAATTGACTGTAAGTACGTTTAGTTACGTCATCTATTTCAGACCTTATCTATCGTCTTATAACGGTTATCTATTACTTTCTATCAGTTGTCTGCGCCCTTAACTTATTGCCATGAAGTGAAGACGAAAAGAGTTTACTTATATTCGAATTGATTTAATTTCGTTATACACATTATAGGTAGGAGCATAAAGGTTTTTTTTTTGTCTTTAAGATATTTCGAAAGCTTCATAGAATACTGAGTTGTCCGTAGAACTTCCTAATTACGAGGAAAATTAGATTCTCTCATCTCAAGAAAGTTTCAGACCGTTGTTTCTTCAATACTCATTCAGTTCAAACTCGTTTCATTTCTTTGGGACGACATGCCTACGGAATATAAAAATTTTAAATATTAATGGATTAAGTTTCTAAACAATTTATATTTATACTTCTTATTAAACAATAAGTGTTAATATATAAAAATATGGCAGGATAATACAATATAAGATCTACCAATTTGTGTTTATATTAAAAAGTTATTTCAATATCTGTATCCCGTACCTTTGCTAGCGCAAATAAAAAAAAAAAACAAAAAAAAAATTAAACCTATCATATTCAAGTAATCCAGGATGTGGTCTATTTATATACTTCTTTTTTTTTTTTTTTTTATACCTAATTATAATAAAATCCGTTGAACTATTTACACATAATTGAATAATAACTATTTTAGCATAAAAAAGAAAAAAAAAATACGATAGATTAAATACCTGATTCAATACATGATTAAACGCCTTAATGTAAAATTGTGTCCAACGTCTGTCTACGTCTAAACAAAAGAGAGTCAATATTATTAAAAGTAAAAGGTGTTTAAAGTAATAAATTTTATTATAATAATGTATTGTTTTAATAAAACATTTTGTTACTTTATAAATAAACATTATTACACTGACTAAATAATATTTATTTACTTCAACAAGAGTTTTTTAAACACTGTTTAGATAACAATCTCTTTCTGTTTACATAACTGTTTGGATAAAAAATCTTTTTATTAGCTTTCATATTTATCATGTCAGGGATTGCTTATTGAATTTCTTTTCGCTTTTTTTTAATGCCACATACGTGGCAAACAAACATACAACCCGTTTGGTGGTAAACAGTCACTGTAGCCTATTTTTTTTTATACAACTTAGAATGGCAAACAAGCTGACGGCCCACCTGATGGAAAGTGGTAACCGTCGCCTATAGACATGAGCAGTACCATGGCCATAACAGAGTATACTGTTTCGCCCATGATACCCCCCTATGGACGCTAGCAACACAAGAGGTGTCACGTGCGCGTTGGCGACCCTAATCAAACTTTCATATACCCTTTTTGAGGAGCCCCATACTGTAGTCTCAAGGAAAAATCTCCAGAGCTCAATCCACAGCCTAAGCGTTCGCCAGTGAACATTCCTTTAAAAACGTACTGTACGTGACCATTTAAGTTAAGTAGATAAACGTGTGTGGATGAATTCCCTGTTGATAGCGAGAGATGTAATAATAAAAGGTGGCTGTGAGCATCATTTCAAACAATTCCTCAGAACACTATCCGTTATACAAGCGGTAGAACACACATAGGGAGGCAAAATCTCTCCTTGGATTTAAGGGCTCAATACCGTCACATGGGATCGTCGACAATTCTCGTCTTTGAACCGAGTCACGAGAACCAAGATGGTATCATACTTACAACTTGTACAACATTAATATAAATAGGTGACAGTAACGTAGAAAAACGTGATTATTTTATCTATGGTAGTACCTGTAAGTAGGTATGTAGTACCTGAACTATAACCTGATGGTTAGAACCATCAATTATGGTATCTAACTAGGTAATCGCAGTTAACATGTTGGTAAGTTATTAAATGTATCATACGTGAACATTATAATATAAAAAACCTGTAATTAGAACAGGACGATTAGTACATAATTTATTAGCTGGATTCAAATTATAATGGCACTCTTACAATATCTATAGTTTTTCTAATAAAATTATAATATAAAATAAGTGCCGTGTAAAGACGTGCATGTGTTGTACATTCTGATAAAAGACATTACATAAAAAAAAAAAAAAACAAAAGAAAAACCAAAAAATAATAATTTATACGGAAAATAATATAAAAATAATGTACACCATTATTTACCTAAATAATTACAAAAGTCTTTTTCACTAGCTGTGTCCGTGACTACATCAACGTGAATCAGTATCGTATGAATTAAGTTAAAATATAACCTAACGCTGTACCAAATTTCATTCAAATCCGTTCAATAGTTTTTGCGTGAAAGAGTAACAAACTTCTTTCCTTCCATCCATCGTTATAAACTTTTTCATTTATTATATTAATAGAATTAATTTTTTCAACCTATTTTATAGGTAGGTACCTAAACAAATAACACATAGGTAAATACTCTGAAATGACAACACTTTCATACACCACATCTCTCCTTACGAGAGCGGCGCGTTATAACTATAAGTTATTTTAACTAAACATGAAACAACGAAAGGCCTAAAGCTGATTTTTTCTATGCAGATTAATAGAAAAGAAACCTATTTTTATGTATTTTAAAACGAGAAGGCTTTCGTCCATGATAAAAATGAACAATACTTAGTACTTTCATTGTTTATTCGATGGCCTAGTGACATTTATTTAATTATATGCTTTTGTACGTTTATACGTTTTAGAAGTCTTTTCGCTTTCAGGGCATTTTTAAATGATTATTAGATTGAATAATTTTACCTCTCATCTCATAGAAACCTAATCCGCATCTCTCAGCTATTCGTGCCGAGTGTGTTTGTATTTACACCGCTAAAGAAAAGTTATCTGGTAAAAATTTTCCAAAATAATAGATTTTGAAAAGTTTTCCTTGCTTGTTACACTTACATGGATTTATCTTTTTAATATTCTCAATTTCATTTTTTTTTACAAATAATAATAAAATCAAATAAATACACTTGGAAATAATGCAATCGTTGAGAATTGGTGAAAGCTGCAATACTTGATATTATTTAATATTGAAAGACGGGCTTTTTCAGGCAGAAAAACTTGTGACACTGCGACCTTTCCATGATCTTTTGTGCTCGCACTTAATACTTGATGATGTTAAGATTTTAAGATGTTACGTAATAAATAAATATATAAATAAATATCTCATTGTTCCAGCTGTTCCACGGCGATGCTGTGCGCATCCATCATGACAGACCACTGGGAGCACGTGGTGTGGGAGCGTGCAGCCCTCGCCACCCTCGCCAACACCTCCAACACTGCATTGCAGTGGCTCCTCGATGACAAAGTTGCCAAGGTATCTGTCATTCATTTTTCATGATAGACGACCTTGAGAGTATTATTAAAAGAGATGTTATCCAGTAGACATCCTTGATAGACAATTTTGTAAAAAAAAAACTTGAAAGTAAGGAATATAAATAGGAAATAAATCAAGGATGCCCATGTTTCTGTCGTGCAACTGTGCTGTTTTATTTTTCAATATGGGCATTTTATTTCTTTCTTTCTTTATGTCAAGCGAATTTATATGGCAGTAAAGTGACAGAGTATGGTGACATAAAAATTTAAGGCTCAGGAATGTCAATTGGTAACGCGTGAAAAAGATGTGTGTCATGTGATGGGTGTCACAATCTTTTCTATAACTTCTATCACTTTTTATCAAGTTACGCCGTAATCTAAGGCTGTAAACTTGTTCGTTAATATAACGTGCAATAGAAATCAAACACTATGAATACATATTTTTAATATCGAAGTTGAAATTATACTTTATTCAATCAGCCCTTAACAAAACGTTCATAGATTAGCATAGTAAACAAAGAACGCTCGTTCTAAAGAGAAATTCACAGTTCATGGTCTGCTAACTTTATCGGATCACCTTGACCAGCAGACCCTTGCATGCAATACGCCTAATCAATGCTTTAATATATACATACATATAAATATATGCGAATACTTTGCGGGCGCCGGTGTAAGGTTATCGGATAAAGGTTGATAGTATAGTACATACATATGCGTAGACGAATAAGTAATTAATAAAAAGAAAATATTTGTATTTAGATTAGTATACTAAATAATGATAAATGACTAACTATATAAGTACATAAAGTATTCTATGTGCTAAGTTAGGGTATAATCTATCCGTACACCAAATTTCATTCAAATCCGTTTAGTAGTTTTTACCTGAAAGAGTAACACCCATCCATCGTTATAAACTTTAGCATTACTAATATTAATAAATTATAAAAATTTGTAAGGTAAAAATAAATAAAAATAGATACATGACGTAGTCAAATTTCATATGCCGTTGAATTTATTTACAATAAGTCATCATCAACATATCAGGAGGTAACTGTCCCCCTTGGGGGGTTTGTCAGTAGTTGCTACGCTTGGCAAGCGGTTTTATATCCGCAGTTCAACTTTGGTCACTGCTGCTCGCTGACGCTGCTGCTCATAACCCTACCAATAAGTTCCCTTAGTCGCCTCTCACGACACCTACAGGAAAGGAAAGGGTGGCCTATTCCGTACCGGGAACTACACGGCATTTTACTATAAGTACTATTGCCATAAAAATATATAGGTCTTAGCTATAAGTATATCTATTCCAGTAATGTCCACTCGTTTAGAACTAAATTATTAATGAAAAATACAATTTTCAATTCAACGATAAATAAGTTTTCTTTTTTTTATGTACATTATCATGGAAATGTATTCAAACAATACCAATTTTCCGAGTTAATTTAATTTATTCGTGTAATTTACTAATGGATTTCGGTCCACTTCAGTAATTACTATTAGTATATTTAACACTAGTACTAAGTTTTTTTTTTATACAACTTAGAATGGCAAACAAGCTGACGGCCCACCTGATGGAAAGTGGTAACCGTCGCCTATAGACATGAGCACTACCATGGACATAACAGAGTATACTGTTTCGCTCATGATACCTCCCATGCGTTGCCATTCCTGAGGATTCAGATGTTATTCCTCTGTACCCTGTAAATTCACGCCATATCCCACCCTTCAAATCGAAACACAGCTATGCAAACACAACTGCTTCGCGGTTGAAACACGAATGGGACAGTACCCAAGCAATTGACTTTTGTACAAAATCTCCCTCTGGTAATTACTGGAATTATTATTAGATATTTCTGTTGAATATTTCGTACCTCAGCTTATTTTATAGCTAATCCATTTCTTTGAATCTATTTTATATCAACATACACGTGTTTTTTTTTAATGAATAATAAATGGAAGGGAGGGAAGGGATTGTTAGTACTTAATACGGACTACTAATCCCATTGCTAACAATGTACTCTGTCAGGTCGACCTCCACGTGGTCCCCTTGGAAACAATCGTGCTAAATTCCAGGTATATTCATCACTATGGACACTGTTTGTCTTTTCATTCTCACCTATCATCTTTACTGGTACCCCGCCAGCGTACGAGTATACCGTAAGCACAGGCAGGGTTACCATTTCAATTATTTCACCTATTAAAAAATCCTATAAACATTTGGAAATGATGTTTAAAAAAATCTTATATTCCAAGATTAGTTCGCTGTCATTACCATTTAATTAATTCTATATGATTGATTATGTACCTATATATTCCTTATTTAAATTGGTATTACATTAATCATTTTATAAATGATACGGTAATTTTTACTAGTTTTTTTTAATGGGTGAAAATGGTATGGTGACCCCGCCTACGCTAATGGAATACGCTGGCGGAGCACCAGTGAAGGGTGATAGATGAGAATGAAAACAGGCCAGTTAGCCCACCATGATAAACTCATCAGGAATTAACCATGATAATTTCCAGGGAGAACTGCGAGGAGGTCGACCCGGTTGAACATATTGCTAGCAATGGGATTCTCAGTATCCATTACTAACAATCCCTTTCCCTCCAATTTTTACTAGCATAACTATGCTTACTAGCTATATATGTACGTAGTATAAACATCAAATGCTATTACAGTTGTAAGTATTGCGGAAAACGGTCAACGTAAAAAACCGTTTTATCGTGTAAAACCGACAGATGGTCCGCATTTCAATTGGCAGCGCTGTAGGCGGGTCAAGGCGACGGGGCATAAAACAATAGTGCCTATTTCATTTGTTGAAACACCAAATAACTGCAGCTTGGCTGTGCACGCGATTGAAGGGTTCGATACTTTGCACTTCATAATATCAATAGTACAATAGTGCAATTGCTTACAATCAGACTGGTCGTATGCTAACTATAGCATATATAAAGATACGACCTTAAAGAAATCTTTTTTACTTCTCTTTTTATCTGCAGTAAAAAAAGAAAAAGATTAGAATGTCGATAGATTACTTTTTTGCATATCAGATGATATATCTACACAATCATCATCATCCGTTAACTATCCACTGTTAAACACAGGCCTCTCCATATTGAAGTTAGCCAGTAGTCGCCTCGCTTAGCAGGTTTTTTTTTAAATGGATTTTAATAAAATGGTAACCCCACCCGCGCTATCGGTATACACCGGCGGGGCACCAGTGAAGAATGATAGGTGAGGATGAAGCAGGCCAGTTAGCCCATCGTGACGAATTCAACAAGAATTGTTCACGATGATTTCCAGGGGGAACCACGTGGAGGTCGACCTAATAAGGTATATTGCTAGCAATGGGGCTGTCAAACTCTATTGCTAACAATCCTTTTCCCTCTTCGCTTACCAGGTTGGTTGGCAATCGCAGTTAGACTTTAATGGTGTAATATATATAATATCCCACTCTTTAAACTGAAATACTGCCATATAATTACAGTATAAGTACAGCTGCTTCACGACAGAAACAATGCGGGATAATGTTTTACGCAATATGTTATACAATTATGCACAACAAGTACGATTTAAACATTAGGTTAAATAAATGTATTTATAATGTGGCTACACGATGTACCACGTTTGTTGAAAACTCGATGATTTATTAGTACGTACATGGTAGGTATCATGTCAGAGAAAGAATAATGATTCAATGTTTCAGATTGAAGACGCAAATAATAAAAAAGGAGGAGGTACTTTTTTAGTACCAATGAACGGTGGAATTTGGACCATGTGCGTCTCTCTTGAAGGTACAGTTTTATTAGTACAAATCGCTTACAATGTATGTTATACTCGTACATTGTAAAAACAACGGGCATTTTTGTAGAGAGTACATGGAACATTTTAAAATTTTTAAAATATTGTTAGTATTGTGTGATCATTTGTTGTTTATTTTAAAAATAATTGTTTATGTTATTATATTTATTAATAATACTCTTAATAGACCTTACTGCCGCCAGGAAACTTTTCACTAAATTTGATAGACAAAGCCAAAGATCGGCTTGGGGTCTTAAATGTTCACATTGCGCTGGAACACTCACAGCATCAGCTGAGCCGGTTCTTTTTGCCGGGTGTGAGACACTTTTTGTATATGTTTATTATATTTTATATTGTAATTGTATGGCAATAAATGTTTCTATTCTATTCTATTCTAAATAACTAAGTAAATAATGAAGTGGATTATAATTTCTTTTACAATATTTTTTTTTGGTTTCAAATCAAATTCAAAAAACACTTAATTCATTGTAATTTATTATACAATAATGGATTTCACTAAATATTTAATATTAAATTTTTGTGAAATTTACCCTCTTACAAGTTACTGTAAAATTTCACAAAACTTTGTAAAATATAATAGTACCATATATGATAAGATTGAAGGTTATATTTTAGTAATTTTACTAGCGAAACAAAATAATATTTGCATTGAGCTTGTGATTGATAATAGCTTATTTATTTCGTATCTACTACTATTTTTAGATGCCTATAAAGCACTCTATTTTCAGAGGAAGAAGTGTCGATATTATCAAGAGCTGGTTTTCCAACACAACCCCTGTGCACGAATTATCTAGCAAACACAGACACAGATGACGAGCCGAGAGCTGACTGGCAACACCGTGAGTGCTTAAATATTTTATAAAGAGACTAAATGTTTTTATTTTAATTAAGAAGAAATGATATTGGGTCCCTTTTTCTTTTAAGCAACATTAATTTCAGATGTCTCAGATTAAATTTACGTAATGAATTACGACTATTTAGTATCCCTTATAACATATTTGTATTTCGTATTTGTACCAACTAAAATAAATTATTGTCCCATATTCATATATTTAGTAACTTGATTGCAATGTATGAAATAATAATAAAGATGGTATGAGTATGTGACAGTATTACCAGAGGGAGACTTTGTACAAAAGTCGTTTGCTTGGGCACCTCTCTCCCATTTGTGTTTCTGCCGTGAAACAGCTGTGTTTGCATGGCTATGTTTCGGTTTAAAGGGTAGCATACGGCAGTGAATTTATAGGATACAGACTAATAACACCTGAGTCCTCAGGAATGGCAACGCATGGGGGGGTATCATGGGCGAAACAGTATACTCTGTTATGTCCATGGCACTGCTCATGTCTATAGACGACGGTTACCATTTTCCATCAGATGGGTCATCAGCTTGTTCTTTTTTTTCTTTTTTTTTTTTTTTTTTCTGAATGTGTTTGCTGTTGGCCGTGTGTGGCCTTTACAGCTTCACCGGACGCGAATGCAGGGGCGAGTGCTGATGGCACTCCAAGCCCGCGAGAGGGGAGCGACAGAGGTGTCGACTCTTTCTTATGGACTGCGGTGTGTGTGTGCGCCTAAGGGCGCCAGAGTGGCTCGGCCTCGGCTTAGGCCACCGCACTTCGACCCCCGTCGAGGGACGGCGAAGGGTCGGTACGTCTGGGTGGGTGAGATTGCGACGCGGTTGTTATGCGCTCGGGCGCAAACCTGATCGCGCGCGGACCGTGTGTCGCGAGGGTTCTTCGCCCCCGCCGGCGGGGGCGGTGTGTGCGATGTGTGGGTGTGTTTGTAGGGGCTCTTGTCGAGGGTTCCGCGGTAGGTAGGGAGGGAGACGCGTTTGCCGTCGTAGTTGGATCATCGGGGTCCAAGAGTGCGTGCCTCGGGCGACGACGTTTTGGAGCGACGTTCTCTATGGGGGGTTTGTATTTGACCGCTCTTACTATGAGCGGATTTGAATGGGACTCGGCTGAGGCGAAGTAGCGTCGAGACGCTTGCTTCATGAATTGCCTTATAGTGGGTATTTTGAGGTCGCGGTGTAGATCCACGTTGCGCACGTACCACGGGGCGCCCGTGGCCCGTCGCAGAAATTTATTTTGCACCACCTGAAGGGGGTGAAGTAATGAAGGAAGGGCGTGGGCGAAGACGACACTAGCGTACGTCATCACCGGTCTTATACATGCTTTATAGAGCGTCAGCTTTGCGTTAAGCGACAATTGGCTGCGCTTGTTAATAAAGGGATGGAGGCGTCCCAGTATAAAATTGGCCAGGCCTCGGACGCGCTTAAGATGAGATGCGAAACTCAACTTGGAATCTAGTGTCACGCCTAGGTATTTGGCTTCGTTCGTCCAGGGGACGGGCGTGCCAAACAGCTGAATAGAGGCGGGAAGGGATGGTTTTCTTTTGGCCGTGAAAAGCACGGCGGCGCTTTTATCTGGGTTGACTTCGATGCGCCATTTTCTGAACCAGTAGGCCAGCTCGTCCACCGCCCGTTGAAGCCTGTTGGCTGCACAGGCGGCCGACGTGCTGTCCACATATAGGGCTGTATCATCAGCAAAGAGGGCGATTTGCACTCGGGGCTGACGCGGGATGTCGTTGGTGTACAACGAGAAGAGGGTGGGGGAGAGGACAGCGCCTTGAGGGACGCCGGCTCTAATCGGTCGTGCGCTGGAACGCACTCCATTGACGCGATAGCGATGTGACCTATTGGACAAGAAGGCTCGTATGATGTGCACGAGCCTGTCTGGCACTCCCATCTTGTGCAGTTTGAAAATCAAGCCGCTGTGCCAGACTTTGTCAAAGGCCTTCGCTACGTCGAGAAACAGGGCACATGTGACCCCGTTGGATTTCAGGTGTCGGGCGTTGAGGACGTGTTCTACTACACGATGTACTTGATGAACAGCTGAGTGCTTGGCTCTAAAGCCGAACTGTTCATTGATCAGGATGCCTTTGGACTGTAGCCAGTCTTTCAGGCGTGCGAGTATTAGCTTCTCATACAGCTTCCCCAGCGAGCTGAGGAGACTGATGGGGCGAAAACTGGTGGGAAGGGACTTATCTTTCCCAGGTTTGGGAAAGCCTACGACATCGGCTTCTTTCCAAGCATCTGGAAAGATGGCATTGGTAATTGCCGCATTGAAGATCGCTACTAGGAGTAGCAGAATGGTTTCTGGCAGACTCTTAAGGAGTCTGTTAGAGATACCGTCGGCACCGGGTGCCTTTCGGTTGGGAGTTCCTTTGATGAGTGTTCGCACCTCATCCAGTGTAACGGGGGGGAGTGACTCTACTGGAGGGATCGACAGGATTCGCTCCACCTCGGATTCTACCTTCTCTAGATGATCAACGGGCACCGGAAGGGTGCTCGGCATGCATTGGGCCTCTAGGCTGTCTGCTAGGCATTCAGCCTTTTCTTCATCAAATATGGCCGGACTGTTGTTTGTTCGGACTAAGGGCGGAAGGTCGGAGTAACACTGGTCTGTTTTGAGGGTTTTGGCTACTCGCCAGTACGCGGTATGGCAGGGGGTGAGTTCTTTGGTGAACTTATCCCATCTGTCTCGCCGAAGTTCCGCTATGCGACTCTTTACTTCGCGCTGTAAAGCTCGCAGGCGGGTTCGGTTCTCTTCTGAGGGATAGCGGTCATACGCTCGTGTGGCTGCATTCTTAGTGCGCAGCAGAGCCCTTACATCATCAGGTAGGTTCCATCTACGGTCGCCCGTATCCGGAACCTCCCTGGAGCAGTCCTTGACTGCCGACTGCAGGTGCTCTGTTAGCGCGTCTATGGCTGTAGTCGTCTCCTCGATAGATTCGACTACGTCCGGGATGCGGTCCAGTACCGGAGAGTTAGTCGACTCGAGGACTTTCTCAAGCCGGCTCCAGTCCGTGACCGTTTTAAATTGAGGCGCCCCGTCTGCAGGTGGGCCTAGCGAGAATGTGACGGGGCGGTGGTCGGAGATGAGTTCGGCATGGACCTCCATAGAACTCAGCCTTAGGGCTACGTTCTTTAGTAGGGCCATGTCGAGGATGGAGGGCTGATGAGCAGTGTTTGCCGGATAGTGCGTGAAGTGCACTGGGGGAAGGATGTCGAAACCCATGGAAAGCGAAAGGCGTTCCAGGGTGAGACCGTTTGGGTTCGGATAAGCACAGCTCCAAAGGCTGTGCTTGCAATTTAGATCTCCGGCAATAATTACCGAATCCCCCAGGTCCATGAGAGCTTGGAGGTCGGCCCGGAGTAGCTTTTTGGAGGGAGAGAGATAGGCCGATGCTATATAGATCGGTCGATGATCTGTCATCGCGAGGAGGCATATCGAGGCTTCCATGTTTACGAGCGGAGGCGTGTCGATCGGAATGCACTGAAGGGACCTTCGGTAATAAATTAACGTACCGCCGCCGCGACTGATGCGGTCATTGCGTACGATATTGTAGTTTGCGATTCTTGGACCGCGTATTGAAGGCTTGAGGAAGGTCTCCTGTAGTAGGAGAACGTCCACCTGGTGGGCGGTGAGAAACTCACGGACTTCGTCTCTTTGCCCTTGTAGTCCGTTAGCGTTGAAAAACGCTAACTTAACGGACCGAGGTTTGCATCTTTTCGCCCTTAGATCCATAATTAGTTGTTAAAATTGAGGATGGCGACTAGTACGCCGATGTGCTCGCAGACGGCTGCGAGTCTTTCTTGTGGGTCGTTGACTGACCTTAATTTGGAGGCCAGGGCCGTAATCTCGCCAGCGTCGATGGAGCTGGCGAGTTTCGCTACCAGTGCGAAGTCGGCTGCGAAGCTTGAGCCTACGTTCGTTCCAGTTTGCGGGGCGGGGCGCGGAGGAGCGGGCGATGCCACAATCTTGGCAAGCGTGGAAGCGGTTGCAGATGGCATGGTGGGTGAGGGGGTCGCCTTGACGACCGGAGGTCGCACCCAAGCATTTTTTGGCGGGGGAGGTGGTGCAGCTGAAGGCTGCGGGATAGTAGGGGGCGCGGGGCGTGCTGCGCGGGGTGCCTGAGCCTTTGTGGCTTTTGCGGAGGCCTTGTTTTGGCCGGGACGGGGAGCGCGGGGACATCCGCGGTAGTTAGCTGTGTGGCCCTGTGTGCCACAGAGTACACAGCTAGGTGGGGTCGGGGTGCCACTCACGCGAGTGCATTGCTTGGTGCCGTGGTCTCCCAGGCACTTGACGCAACGTTCGCGCGCGTAGCAGTTTCGGGCGGAGTGCCCATAATTTTGGCAGCGGTGGCACTGCCCGGGGTAGGTCCGCTTATTTGGCGGTTCTATTGATAGGCCTGAGATCAGGCAGACACTTCGGATGTTGAAGATAGATTTCCCCTCTGGGGAGAGATCTAGTACCACTAGTACCATGTCTAGTGGCGTTTTGGCCCTGCTGCGGTACATCCTGTGTACCTCGTGGACGGGGTAGTTTTGAGAGCGGATATCTGCGAGGATGTCCTGGCAGTCCAGCTCCTTAGGGACGCCGCGTATTACTACGCGCAGTCGTTTCTCCTCCTCGAGGGCATAAGTGTGGTAACCCACACTGTTTGTCCTGAGGAAGGAAGTTAACTGGCGATGATCCGCCGATGTGGGAACCACTACTCTGATTCCTAGTGAGGTTACCCTTGCATGGGTAAAGGATATGCGCTTTTCCTTCAGCGCAGCTGACACCCTGTTCCAGGCTGTCTTGTCCTGGATGATTATAGGAGGAGGAGGCCTCACTTTCCCCGCGTGATCGCGGTCGGTTTTATCGGCGTTAGCCGGAACGGGTGCGCCATCGTTGGCACGTTGGGTTTTAGGCGGGGGAAGATCGCGCGCCCGCTTCGCGCGTTTGGTGCGCTTGGCACCCACAATTTGAAATTCCTCTTCCGAGGAGGAGGCAGTGTCGGAGGAGTCGCCTGTTTCGGCGACGACGTTGGGAGCGTCTAGCTCCATTTCCGTTTCAGAGGAGGGGCGGTTGGGAGCAACCTCCTGAGGGGACATCGGCTCCGGGGTACTCACTAGGTGGTCCCCGGGGGAAGGTGGGTTTGAGGACAGCTCGTCGTTGGCCTCCTGAAGGGAGGCCGCCGGCGAGGCAGGGGCGTCGTCATGTATCACATGTGCGCCCCTGCGCTCATCGAAAAATGCCTTTAAGAGGCCAGGACATTTGGCCTTTAAAAAGGCCACGAATTGTGGAATGTCATCCTGGGACAGCGACATGTTGTCCCAGAAAACACTCCTCTTATAAATTAGCAATGCACCCGACTCTTAAGTCGGGTGCCAATACCTAAAAATAATTAAATTTATAATACGGACAATGCGCTACTATAAAAGTGGACACAAAAAATAAGCCGCTACAAGCCGCGTATATAAGGGCCTGTTGGGACCTGTCCAGGTATGAGTCGCCCTTTATACAGGGATTAGTCACCGGCCGGGCGACGGTTACCCGGCCGCTTTGTGTACAGTTAACCGCCCCGCCGAGTACGGCGGGGGGATGTGTGCCTATTGTTAATGTAACAATGGAATGTAGTCACCGGAGTGACTTGTGTACCTGTTGCCGATACTTGGCCGGGGTGTCGAAGGCGGCGCGGGTCGCCGGGGAGGAGAGTGCTGGTCTCTGGCACCGGCTCCGGAGCTGGTGCGCTGCGCTTATGGCGCAGTACACCACCCTAACACTTGTTAGTCCGATGCACTAGAGTTCACAACACTACACAATTGTCACTTGTAATTGTTCACATGCACTCACTGCACTCGCGACGACGAGGTGGCAGCGCGTGCCGTGTACGCGAACGGACGGCCGTTAAAAAGCGCGCGAAACTAAGGCGACGAACGAGAACCTCGTGCCCAAGTTGTTCTCTACTTTTCTTCGTGTCCGACGTGTTTGCGTATCCGCTGACTCCGTGCAACAAGGCAGCGCTACACAACGGAGTATTGATGCCAGTAGTGACGCGTGCGTCACCAAAGGCTATCGAATGAGCAATGATGATCAGCTTGTTCGCCATTCTAGTTGCATAAAAAAATTTGCATGTTAATAATTTTTTTTGCTGTATATTGAACCTTGTCTGCTCTGAGTGTAATATTTATTAATGGAAACTTTATTGGTTACTAACTGCTTATTAAGTAATATTTTTCTAGTAATTATACCTTTTATTTCTTGAATAATATAAAATAAATAATGTAAAAACAAGCAGGCGAGCGTAACTGTAACAGTTATAGTAACTTTTCAAAAGTCAATTTACAATACTATAGGCATATAGTATTATATTATCTGTGCCATAGGTAATAAAGAATTCCAAAAACTCAGCAAAGAGTTACATAAGCGCTTCTATGCAGGTTTTTGTTATCTACATCTGGTGTTACATAAGCGCTCAGCGAGATAAAAATGAAGCTATATATCCTGCTAATAGATCATTAATCAGTACGTGCACAGAGATACATGAATCTTAATAAATAAGGGGAATGAAGAGAACACATAAATTAGAGAGGCTTCTTTAATTCTGTAATAATGGCAAAAAATATTCCGATCATCGATGAGGTTCATATTTTGAATTGGTTTTTTTATCAATTTTATATTTGAATAAACAAAATAATATTTTCTTCTTTTTTAATTTAGGATAGAAATTATATCCAAATCATTAAGATTTTAGAATATAACTATACAATAACTGCTTATGCTATAATATTTATTTAATAGATACTGAATATAAAAAATAACAAAAAATTGAAATTAAAAGTAACACTAAAGTAAGAAAATTTAACACCAAACATCTCTGCTTGCCCTATAGTTGACTAGAAGAGAACGCCTTTAGGTGCCATGTGTACCTTTGTTATGTATTCGTGTATGAAAGTTAAACAAATAAATAAAATTTAGATTACAAGACCCAAAATAAATATTAGGTGAGGCGGCATAGAGTCTATTGTTGAAGATAGAATTTCTTATCTTCCGTCATTACTTATAAAGTAGATAAATTAAGAATATTAATTAATTGCTTTATTATACAATGTGTGATTCCTTACACAATCTCATAGTCTTACTATTCTAAAACCTCTTAAACACCTTAGCATGTTCGTAATATACGTAGGCTTTGAAAATATTATACTTCCATATTTCTTGGAGTTATTAAAAAATAAATATATTAAATATCCGAGAACAAGCCAAGGCCATTACAGGACGGCCTTTTCTCCCCTCATCGAATTTGACATTGAAGAAAACTGTTTTTTCCTTAATAACAACGCTCGTTTATTTTGACATAGTTAAGTATAGATATATAGTTATATTATACGTCGATATTTACAACAGTAAATATATTGTTCGAATAGAATTTAATGAAAATGTAAATAAAGTAATAAGTTGTCACAAATAAACTACCTAGGTATCTTTAACTAGGTATATATGCATATATCTGTCACATCTGTCTCCCATTAAGATGGGCAGAAACAATGGAACGCCAAATGCTTCAATTCAAACAAGCCTCTTTCGCTTCCTCCACATTTATTAATCTTTTCATACACATTCGCCGGTTACGGGTACTTTTAATTTGGCTCTTCTTTAGCATGTCGCCTACTTGGTTAACATATGTATATCCGTCTAGGGTGGCCTCTAGTAAGATTTCCATTCATTCGTGCTCGATAAATCTTATTTAACTAAATACTGTTTTATTTATATAGCTACTTATGTATAACTGGACAATAGAAATTTAATATACATACTATGTATATATTTAAAAGTTAATACCATTTTATTGTCCTTTTAAATGTAATAATTTAATAATAAAAAAATATTTTGATTAAATTATCACGGTATCAGCGTGGGAGTAAAGAAGAACAGCGCTCTTCCGTCTTTTACAATGCTGTAACGCTTTGTTCGCAGTCACCTCTAACGTTTCTGAGGACCTTATTCATGAATATTTGCAAAATCCTTATCATTGCTTATACTTATTATGTATCCACATTTTTTTTTATAATATTGAAACTTTTGATTAGCGACCTTCACATTTTTCTTAATGGCTCCATACTTTTATACTCATATACAGGAACATAATTCCAAACTCTATAGTAATGACCTTGTTATAAATATAAAACATTTGCTTCGTAGCAAATCGGAATTAATGTTGCCACCGGCTTTGGAATAATAGCTCCCCTTATATACCTATTTAAAGTAATTTTGGTAACATGAAACAATAAGAAAACATTAATTTTCTGCGAATTGCGTTGTAAAAGCTTACTATGTTGAGGTAGTTTAATTAACTCTTCAAACTCTAACAAGCTTTACACTATAACACGGTTTAACTTTAATGTAAACCCGTATAATAAGTTAATTGAATAATTAACATATTTATATAACTATATATAATAAAATTGTAATTAGCGATGTCTGTACATAGGAGATATTTAAAAAAAAACGAGTATGAGGGGTACAAAAACAATAAAAATCAATATATTTTTTTTGCATTTTTATCTGTCTGATTGTTTCCATATCCCATAAAAACTACTCAATCAAATTGGATGCGGTTTTCAAAATTTTGTTCTTGAAGGTCAAAATTTTAATTTTTTTATTTGTTTTGCCTTGCTACTCTATCTAGAAGTAGTTTATTTAATTGGTTTTACTACATTTAAAATCTCTGATAAGAAATCGCGAGCAAAAAGAAATTATATATGATCATCATTTCAGCCATTGTCCGTCCACTGCTGGACATAGGCCTTCCCCATAAACAGCCATAAGCAACGGTCCTGAGCCTTTAAACCTTTCTTCCCCATATATTGACGATGTTGTTATATATACAAGTACTCAAAGAGATAGTAGTAATTTGTTTAGCATTTTTTATTTTAATCCTAAATACAGGTGGATGTGGACCATTCTTTATGACAGACTACGGGGGAGGCCTATATTCAGCAATAGACAGGCATTGGCTATTATGACCCGATATTGATGATTTTAATTCTGTGTTCAGAATACCTAAGGGAAAATCAAAACATGTAGATAGATAGATAATTTATTTACATTACTTACAGCACACAAATTACAATATTTATAGACTCCACCTTGAGTTTGCTGGAAGGGAACTCTTTTAGAGTTAAGCTCGCCTTTGTACATTTGTTTACTTCTGTCATATTTTTATGTATAATTAGAGTGTACAATAAAGTATTAAATAAATAAAATAAATAAGATGGATTCCTATTTTCCAATATAAAAAAAGACACATCATATTGGTAATATTTATTGCAGGTATGCAGAACCTATCCATATCCTGTGCTTTAGTGTGCCTGATAGTACTTGGGAGCGCGGCACTAGTTGGTGCATTCGGCGTTTGTAAACACCAGATCAGCGCTGTCCTCGTCACCGGGGTCATGTACTTACTGGCTGGTGAGATACTGAATTTTTTACACAAGAATCCCTTACTGCTCAGTGATGGGTATTAGTAGCCCCATAAATTTGCTCTCTCTCTGAATATCATGGTGATTACCTTGTGAATTTGTAATGATGGATCAATTGACTTGACTTTATCTTCACTCATCATTCTATATAGTTACCCCGCCATCGTAAATAAGCACAGACGGAATTGACATTAAATTTTGATCAAATAAAAAAGCTAGAATAGATTTAGCTATATTATCCATTAAAATATAGGTAAGTAAACTTTGGATAAACTTAACAGTCGAGGGTAGGTAACTGAGTCCCTCTTTATACATCACCAAAGCCTAACTGCGGTTGTCAATTCGCCTGCTAAGCGTGGCAATTACTGGCAAAACTCCTCAATAGAGGAACATAAACCATGTTCAGCAGTGGACACCTAACTGCTAATATAATGATGATGAAACTTTGGGTTAGGGAAGATTCTAGTATTTATTTTTATATATATACCAGAGAGTAACTTTGTACAAAAGTCTTTTGCTTGGTCACCTCTGTCCTATTCGTGTTTCTAACGGAAAGCAGTTGTGTTTGCATGGCTGTGTTTCGGTTTAAAGGGTGAGATATGGCAGTGAATTTACAGGATATCATGGGCGAAACAGTATTATATTCTCTGTTATATCCATGGTACTGCTCATGTCTATAGGTGACAATGACTACTTTCCATCAGATGGACCGTCAGCTTGTTTGCCACTTAAAGTTGCATAAAAAAATGTTACTACTAATAATATTAATAGAAATATCTTAATGTTCATTAGGAAGACAATTATAAAATTAAGAGAAAACATTTGACAGCCCATGACTATGGACTTCTAAGTACTAAAAGCAAATCTGTGACCAATAATCATTAATCAGAAACTCAGCACATGTACAATGATACACGGGTCTTGCATAAAGGAAATATAAAGGGGAAATGCGTGAATAGAACGACATGTCATTTGTTATTATACTATCTGTTAGTGTGTTTACATAACAACGGGACCAAGTAATGAATAAAATGTGCTGAATAATTTAGGTGTGAATGTAACATTGTGATTGATAATGCACTAGAGATAATTCACAGCTTTGAATAACATCGAGGATAAGTGTCTACTTATATATTGAGTAGAGATATATGTATATTCATATTATTACATGTATTACATCTCCATATTTAGAATTAACAGAATTTTTTATCGTGCCTCTCACCAAATTGTTTATAATTACTCCTCTTCATCCAAAGGTTGCCTTGAAGAGATCGCTTTTAGCGATAAGGTCGCCCATTGTTTTCTCTTTGTGATTATTTCTTGTAATTCTTTGGAGGAAACAATAAAGAGTATCTATCTATCTATATTAGAATAACAACCTATTTACAATTAAAGGATTTTAGGTATTTCAAGTTCCCTTTTGTTGCACTAAGTTCATTTAAATGGCTCTTACGACACCCTAGAGATGCAAGGAGTGACACGAATAATTGTGGTAGGTACATAATTTTTTTCTTACAGTTACATGGGGATTACAGAATATTTGTTGACGATTCAGTGAAACATTACAAATTGCTAACAATTAGATTTGTCTCCACTTACTATATTGTAACATATTTTAAGATGTAAATGTAGATAGGCTATTCGTGGGCCCACGAGCCACATCTTAGACCATATTATTCAATAGTAAAAAAGTAATAACTTAAGATTGTTTTCCACAAAAAAGAACCGATTTCAAATATGACAAAAAAAAATTATTTCAAAAAAGTTATTTTGATTTTAAAAACTAAACTACTGAACCGATTTTGATAAAAGTTCTATAGAACTAAAGAACAAAACTGAAAGTATATATTTTTAGACGAAAAAGAATTTCATTTCATCAAAATCGATTTATAACTGACAGAGTTATGAGGTAACAAACATAACAAATACAACAGTATTGAGAACTTACTCTTTTTTTAAGTCGATTGAAAATATGCCTTCAATTATGTACCTACCTATCTATACCTTTTCTTAGAATATTTTTCTCCGCAGGTCTGTTTGCAATGTTCACATTGATGATCATTCACTTCAAACGCATACAACGAGTGTCCACAAGAGGCAGTTCGCATATAGACGACACCGGAGATGGCTTGGTGGGACCACAAGCACCCGCCATTCCTCTACTCTCCGCCAGGGAATTCTATAACTCCTGGTCCCTTGAGCTCGGCTGGGGAGGCGTCGTGTTAGCAACAACTACATCCCTACTTTGGATATTGCTATCGAAAATAATGAGATACAATCCCATCTCAGCTATGCTGTTGTAAAAAAAACAAATATCTTCCCTGTTAACATTTTTAGTCAATTAAACATCGATTTTAATACAGTTTACATTATTGTCAATTTCTATTATCGGAAGATTGTCACATACTACATTGCAATGTTTGAATTTTAATATCATGTATTGAAATTCTATAAAAAAAAAAACAAACATTTACTATCAATTTAATTTTATCGTTGAATCGTGCTTTTAAAAAGCTTTAGACTCTAAAATTTAGACGATCGCCGAGCTTGCAGCCGTCCAATGCTATATAATGTTATCGTTATTGTATCTCCTTTCTAAGGCGCCCATTAGACGATACAATCATTGCCAATACGAGTCTGTTGCGAGAACCTCGGTAAGGAACGCATTCCCATAATTTGAACGTTTGTGGAAAGATATTCAAAATATAATATTTAAAAGAATGTTTCATATAGCTGAGTGGCACTATTTTAGTTATTTCTTTTCCTTTTTGTTTATTGTTAAATATTTTTGTAATTAAGTATGTAATTAAGCACTAAATAAATATTTCTTTCTTTATTTTTATATTCCTCTGAAACTAGCCATTTATATGCCAAGAGTTATAGGAGCAGTAGGATTGTAAAATATGTTCTTACGCTTTAATCGAATTATTCTTGAAAAAAAATTAAACAAAAAAAAATATAAAGTTACCAGAAATACATAGCAGTGACTGATACTCTAATGGACGCCTTTTAATATTTTATTATAATCTATTTTACTTTATCGTGTTGCTAAAACGACATAAAATTTATATGATTCATGGTTTTTACTACTTGTATACGTAGCTACGAAATTCACCAAAATTAAGAAACAGCAGTTTAAACCTCTACTATACATACTATATAGGATCATAATTATTTGTCACAGGCATACCCTCACTTAGATATGCCCAATTAGAAACAATGCGATACTCTTCGCCAGAATCTCTAGTAATAGAAAAGTACGTAGGTACTTACGTTTTAATTAGATATTGAAATTTAGAATTAAATTCGATTATTTAAGAACAAAAAATAGATTTTCTAAAAGTTAATGTTACCATTTTAAAATATCACAACTTAGTATTAGTTCCAGCCTTTAGAATACAAAAAAAAAAAAATCTTTTAACACATACAATAAAGTTTTATAGGAAATAAATTGATTTTTTTTAGGAATAGGTGCGAAGACATTTGAAAGTTAGGGCCCTTGATGGAGGTTACAGAAATATTATAAAATTTTACAGACTACAAACTATAACTAAGTACATAGAATGAAACACGAGGCTTATAAGTACATAATAATACTTATTTATATTATTATTGTTAAATGGAATAAAAGGAACAATTATTTTGTGCGCGTTTTGGAATGATATGGTGCTGTAAAAATTTAGTTAATTTTGTGATTATACATAGTTTGAAAAATAAAAAATAGAACCAATATATTTATAAATATAATAGAATTTAATAAGCACAGAATTAAATATGTATGCAGAATAAATCACATATACTCTGAAAGGAGTGCAATTTGCCAAGTAAACGTACAGGGACCTTTGCTCAGAATTATATGAGATGTCTATATTCTTTCTTTTTTTATTTATTTTAATTAAATATATAACTAAAACCCAATATATAAGATGCATATTTTTATGTATGTAAGTAGTAATATACCTACCTAAAATATATTGCATGTTATTGCCTAAGTTATTCTAATTTTCTCTAAAGATACCTAGTAATATCATATTAGTAGAATCAATAGTAATACTTAAATTCCTGAAAACTATAATTACGTACTCGGAATATCTATTTGTATTCTTAATAATTATAAGCCAGTCTTAAATATATTCTACGTCGGGGCATTAAATACAACACTGAGGAATCAAATCAACAATTACTAAAACAATATTTAAGTTTAAGAAATTCATCGGCTTTTGAACAACTTCAGACTATCGATACAAAAAAAACTTAAAACAATATATAACCAAAGATAAAAGAAGTAAAAATCATAATAATAAATATATAAATTATACTACAGGTACCTAAAGTATATAATCATTATATTTTGGCAAATTGCAGTTCCGAGTATGATGTTACAACTTTTTGTGGAGACATGCATTTTTACATGTATACTTATTTTATAAATATCTGCTCACCTTGTGTTCAAAGTCACATCTGGATCTTGTTCGTATATAATTAATTTTAATTGGAGTTAAAAAGTTACATGAGAATCACTTAGCCGGGGAATGGCTCTTATTACGCAAATAATTTTTAACAGTGTAGCGAGAATGAGGTATTTGCTTATGTATATTAGCTTGACATTGTTAAATTACTTTTTATTGTTAGGATGACATATTGTTTAAACAATAAAATTAACATGATGTTGTTGATAAAATCGTGCTAGTATAGTCAACGTTAAAAGTCGATGAACACCTATAGATAAATTTCCAAAACCTGTAAACATCGTTGCGTACATAAGTAGCTTAACAAGTTTGGCGCCAGAATTGGGTAGGCATCGTATAAATTCAAAATTAGTTAAATACCCATATAAACTGGCTAACCATTGTTAGCAACACCGGCCTACAAATTTGTAATTATTAAATTGGCAACACTGGTAATGCAGGAGATTCTATTCCCGCCCTTTTTATTATATTGATTCATTGCATTACATATCGTGTACTATTTCGTTCGAACTATATAATTGAAGAGTTTGAGTCCCACCATTCATCAGCTCATCTAACTACCAGCTACAGTCCACTCCAAAATGTGGTCCTTACATTTAGTTCAACACCCATAATGTATGCTACGGAGTATTTTTTTTTTATACCTACAACTTAGAATGGCAAACAACAAAATGTATACTGAAAGGAAAAAGTGTTTAAAATCTTAATGTGTTCATTAATTTTTGATGTTAACTATGCCTATTTATACAGAATACCTAAACTGTTAACTAGAATTTTCGATATATAACAAAAAACTTGTATTGACACTGAATTTTGCACAAACTAAAACATTTATTTCACATAAAGTTAACTGTTATATAGCAAGTACTTAAAATGTTAAAAGAACCTATATATAATATAAACTTTATGTAATCTATAGGCACAGTGTTTATCTAATGTAAATATACATACTTTTTTTATATACATAAACTCTTAAAACAAAACAAGGATAATAATCACTAAATAAAGTAAAAAAACTGTATTCTATAAAATAATATTAAATACAAATATTACAACTGAATATAACAATTCATCAGCAACAATCAAAATGGCGGCCATGTTATTTTTGCTTCCCTTAAGAAATGTGCCGCCCTTTTTAATCTTTAGACATAGTCTCTCTCAGTGGCGGATTAACGGTGGGAGTGAAAGAGGTGATATAATTTTTTGTGGATTTTGGAATTATATGGCCCGCCCCGGGCCTCCGGTCTTAGAGGGTCTCTAAATGCCTCCATTTTCTATATTTAAGTCTAATTTAAAGTACACAGTACACTCTTTGATACTTATGATACCTTTCATGTCTATAGGCGACAGTTACCACTTTCCATCGAGTTGTAGTCAGTTAGTTTCCCATTCTAAATTTCATAAAAAAAGTATCACTTAAACACTTATACATACAAATGTGAACTAAATAAAAAGCTTGTAAAATTATATCAATTTCTTAAATTGGGAGCCTCATTCGCTTTACTGCCCCAGGCCCTATGGCAAACTGAGCCCGCCACTGGTCTCCCTGTTTAAATGTTCAAAGTTTATTCTTACAAAAATGCTCATTTTTTGCATGTTGCAAAAATGATTTAGTACAAAAACCCTCATCCCCTTCTATTAAAAACAACGAAACAACGCAAACGCTGTGCCTAAAACGCTCGTTATTTCACGCGACATAAATTTTACGAGAATAATAAAAAAATATAATTAAATAAATGATAATACGCTTTACGCACTTTTATGAAAAGGCGTTATTTGAATTGTGATGTTGTATAAAGTTTATTTCAATTCATGTTGTTTGTTCGACGATTTTGTTGAATGTTCTTTTGTACTTTGCATAAAGCAATATTATTTTGTTTATACAAGTTGTTTTATTTAATACAAATTTTTACCCACGACGTCGTCTGCGTAATAGGGATATGTGTACTTGTACCGAGGTAGAAACATGTCCTTCTCCATTCCATATAGTACCTCTATACCAAATTTCATATTGATTGAATAAACAGTTAAAGCGCTGTAAGGTGTCAAACAAACAAACTCACTTTCATATTTATAATATTAGTAAGGATAATACCTACTAAATATCACATTGTCTGTGTTCAGAATGTAATACTTGAAAAAGCGAGTTAGTGTAATATACTGGAGGGAAAGGAATTGTTAGTAACCGAGTTTAACAATTCTATTACTAAAAATGTATAATATGTACTATGTATCAGGTCGACCTCCATACGGTTCCCCTTGTAAACTGCCGTAATTTTTTCTCGTTGAATTCGTCATGAACCTGAACAAGAACCGACCTTCTTTTATCGTCACTATCTACTCTCACCTCGACAGCGTATACCGATAGTACAGGCGGGGTGGTTACCATTCCATTATCACCCATTAAAAAAGTACTGAATATTGTGATACGGAATGATGATTAACATGTTTTAAAAAAAATATTAAACACTAAAGATTCAGCCCGACTTCGCACGGGTTGATAAAGTTTTCAAATAATATATTTGAATCATTTGGCATTCCGGCTACCATAATAGGAGACGGCCCTGATACAGATGTATTTAGCCTATGTTACTCTCTGGTTTTATATCAACTTTAATGGGCATATTTTTTTTTATATTTTAGGTTGCATTATTGTAGTTTTCATAAAGAGGTCTAATTTTTTTTATTTTTTTGTAAATAAAATATAGCATATGTTGCTCGTTGCTGATATAGTTTTCTGTAGGTAAAAATTAGTTTTTAAAATCAGTAATTTTTGAGATATATATATATATATATATATTTATCTCAAAGAGAGAGAGAGAGAGTATTAAAAAGATATGGATAGACTGTGTAAAAGGTGATATGGCCAGAAAGGGAGTCAATGCGAATAGAGAAGAATAGAAGAGATAAACATTACGTCGATCCCAAATATTAATTGAAATAAGGATAGGAAAGTATGATTTCCTACAAAGGCTAAGAATTTTTATTTCTCATTGTTTACATTTCAATAAAACATAGTAATGAATATATAAAATATGATTTATTACTGTCATCAAACAATCACATATCTATTAAATTTAACAACAATCTAATATTTACAACATTCTCTTTCAGGTGTCCAGAGCAACATAAGAATTAGTTGTATAAGAATTAGCCTTTAATTAAATGATGCCCCTGGGCATCAACTTGAACTGAAGTCTTTATTTCAAAGAGTTTTCATCCAGAAATACTGAATTATTTTCGTTGATATATAATTCCAACTTTGTCACACTTTAGTAGGCGGTCACTTTTAAGGTGGTTGTTCACTAAACAAAATTGAACAAGAAATACGCTAGAATCAAGACTTGTGATTTTAGTTGATTATTTTGCAATTAAAGATAATTTGAAGTAAAATTTCCAAAGAGGCGAGTGGTTTCTATTATTATGCATGAATGTAAAGTAACAGATAATCTGAACGAATTAAAAGCTAAAAAATCGCAATGTTTCTTGCTAGTATGTATTATTTTACAAAGTTGTACAATATAAGAGAATAAAGATAGAAATTATAATAAATTATTACTATATAGTTAAAAAATCGTTAAAACCACTGGCCAATTTAGAAATTTTACCTCAAATTATCTTTTCTTACAAAATAATCAACAAAACCCACAAGTCTCGACTCCAGCGCTATCTAGTATATATTTTTTCTTGTTTAATTTTGCTTAGTGATAAGCCACTTTAAGACAATACACAAATTTTAAAATTTTACACTAAGATAACATTATCCTCTTAAGAATTGCGACTGAATATTTGAGGATTCAATCATTATCCTTCAATAACTCGTCTTCGAGGTCTACATCTTCTGCTTTCCGTTTCTTCGCTCGGGGCCGCTTGCCGTGCAACATCTCTAGCTTGATCTTCTTAGATTGCTTTTTCTTCTCTTTCAATTGTAATTTCCTTTTAGCTGCTTTCTCCGGATTATTCACTTTCTCTTGCAATAATATCTACAATTATATAAAAACATATTTTTAATATTAAAGAAGACAGAAGGGGAAGGAGAATAATTTCTTTATATTTTTGGCATTCAATAATATTATTGAAATTATTTTTGAATTATTACATTCATAAACAAAAAAAAAAGAAAATCGTTATTTTTTCTGTATGGTGCTATATTAACTCGCTTAAAAATCCGACTTAATTCTAACTTCATTCAAAAAGTGAGTTTAAAAAGTTTTCAAATTCAGATGAAGGTACTCACTACTGACATGTTAGTTGTACATACTATACTGGTAACCCATTTTGTTAATCCTTTTTGTACTGTGTTTGTATTTTTGGATTTGCCATTGTTTTAGACTCATATACTTAAATTAGCTTTATTGTGACTTTATTTTTAAATTATAAAACAAACCTTCTTCCTTTCGGCCCTCTTTATATTCAACTTCATCTGGACTTCGGCGACCATTTTTCCGTACTCCACATCTCCAATCTTCCGCCTCAACTTCTTGCCGAGTCTACTGGCTAACTGTTTGGGGAGCGACGCTGGCGCCATCGGATCCCCAGTAGACAATTCCCGAACTATTGGCGGTAGCAATACGTTCACTACCTTGTTGAGATCTTGTGTTTCAAATATGCTGATCACATGCATCCACATTGTGAATATAGATGTTCTCTGAAAGATATAAATAGGTATATTAATGAAAAAAACACATATCAATCTTTCTTGAGAAATAGTGTAGGTGAAAAGAAGTGTAGACTGAAAGATCATATAGTAACAAAGATTTAAAGAAGAATGTACAGTTGGAGAGGATGGATGAAAAAAGAATAAAAGAAAAAAAAATGAAATAACGAAAGGGGATTTATCGAGCATGAATGAGTGAAGATATCGGTAAGGGCCGCCCTAGACAGATGTGTGTAACAAATAAGCGACGTGCTGAAGAAGGGCCAAATTAAAAGTACCCGTAACCGGTGAGCGTGTATGAATAGATTGAAGAATGTAGAGGAAGCGAAAGAGATTTGTTTGAATCGGAACATTTAGCGTTGACTATTCCAATGGCAGGCAGGAATAGTATATATATATATATATATATATATATATATATATATATATATATATATATATATGTGTTCAACACAATATCGAACCTCAGTGGTATGGTATATATTACAATAGTTGTGTTGTTAAGATATTGTGTGTGTGTGTGTGTGTGTATGTGTGTGTGTGTACGTGTGTGCGTGTGCGCGTGTGGGCGCGTGTGTGCGCGTGGGTGCGCGTGGGTGTGCGTGGGTGCGCGTGGGTGCGTGTGCGTATGCGTGAGCGTGTGCGTGTGCGTGTACGAGTGCGTGTACGTGTGCGTGTGCGTGTGCGTGTGTGTGTGTGTGTGTGTGTATGTGTGTCCAACACAACGTAAACATGACTAGTTTGAAACTAGACGGCGCTGTGTGTCATATTTCCAATATTATTATTGTAATTACAAATACTTACAATATTAACAGAATTAGGTGCCTTAGCGACTTCTACATTGACAGCTTTCCTTAATTTGAAAAGTATCCATCTTACGTTGACTCTATGGCCACCTTCTGTTTGCTCATCCTCGGATTGCACATTGTTAGACATTTTAAAACTCGATATTGCGTGGACGAGTTTGATAATGAGGAATAAAACAGCTGTCACCTAAAAAATGAAAGAAAAACCTTCAGTAATTTATATATTTTAGACATTATATGTTAAAATGTTATACAACCGTCTGGTTGTATTGTACAGTTTTTATTTAAACTATGAAGTTTGGCCTGAACCTGGCTGATCAATAAACAAGGACAATATTACTTTTTATTTGTTTATGGTCTTTAAAAATAATAGGCTACATGATGATAATATAAATATGGCGGTTATAAACATTATGGATTTTTTTTTTATACAACTTAGAATGCTGTAAACAAGCTGACGGCCCACCTGATGGAAAATGGTAACTATCGCCTATAGACATGTGCAGTACCATGGACATAATAGAGTGTACTGTTTTGCCCATGATACCCCCCATGGGTTGCCATTCCTGAGGACTCACATGTTATTCCTCTGTACCCTGTAAATTCACGCCATATCCCACCCTTCAAACCGAAACACAGCCATGCACACACAACTGCTTTACGGTTGAAACATGAATAGGACGGAAGTAAAAAAAATGAATTTATGTCTATCTACACATAAAACAAACTCTACTGAATTAGAGACTAGATGATGCTCCGTGATAATGGGCATACAATGTTATTTATAATTTACTAGAATAGATTTAATAGAACTAGTTATTTAAAAAAATTTAGACTATTATGTCCACTTATTAATCTAAAAATCACTCACTTGTTCAGCCATTTCTTGAGAAACATTTGGAGTATACTGAGCGCAGAGGTCCAGAACAAGACTCCGGATCGTATCCTCTGTATCATAGTATATAAACCCTCTTTCAGACTCCACCTTCTTCTTCACAATCATATCCAATTCTTCGGGGTCCACTGACGATATTACAGCACCCAATATCTTAGCTGCTTTCAGTCTCACCCATGCGTGAGGATAAGCCAACAACGCTTGACACTGCTGCGCTAAATCGTCAAATTCACTGATAAACTTATTATTTTTCATACTTGACTCGCAATGGACTGTAATTTTATCGATTAAATTCATTATCTGTATCAAACTATGGTCTTTCTCCTTCTGTTTGTCTTCATCCGTTTTCTCCTCGGTGTCCTCTATTCGTAGTTTGACGAAACGTCCTTCGGTTATGTCGTTGCTAAGGTGCAATATTTTACTGCTTACTATAGACAGGATGGGGTCGAGACGGTTCTTGAATTCGTTCTCTTCCACGTTCACGAACCTGATACTCAACTGAGCTGCAAGCTCGAAATGTATCGTCGCCTGAAATATTACAATAAATTATTTTTATTTATTATTAACTTTTACCCGCGACTTCGTTCGCGTGACTGGAATATTTTTTTTTTATACAACTTAGAATGGCAAACAAGCTGACGGTCTACCTGATGGAAAGTGGTAACCGTCGCCTATAGACATGAGCAGTACCATGGACATAACAGAGTATACTGTTTCGCCCATGATACCCCCCATACGTTGCCATTCCTGAAGACTCAGGTGTTATTCCTCTGTACCCAGCAAATTCACGCCATATCCCACCCTTCAAACCGAAACACAGTCATGCAAACACAACTGCTTCACGGTTGAAACACGAATGGGACAGAGGTACCCAAGCAATCGACTTTTGTACAAAGTCTCCCTCTGGTAAAAATATGTATGAATGGATATGTTTGGATATGTTTACAAACTGGAATAATAAGTAGACTATATCCTTCTCCATCCCATATAGTACGTGTAACAAACTTACTTTCACATTTGTAACATTAGAAAGGATTAAATGACTTCAAAAGATAAATTTACAAAATGACGTAATTGTTTTGTACTTTACGAGATTTTTACTTTTCATATTATCGATAAAATGTATTTCGGTAATAGTGCCGTATTAATTGTGTCACGATTATGACCACTAAGTAGTAACTGTATGATGGTATAAAACAGTAACTACCACTGATACATATGAAGACACAGAATACTATTGTTTTCATTTAGTCTACAACGTAGGGCACACGTCGTAGTATGTTCTTTACATACTTTTATTTTACTTGGAATAAATATAAAATTATAAATAAGATGAACTTTTTAGGTTGACCTTTATGGAATTTACAAAAAAATTACAAAGGAAAATCTCAAGCTATCTACAATTATAATAAATCGGTAGAAAGGTCTATTCTGTACATGAAATATATTTCCAAAATAACTATCAGGGGATGATTAGTGATCGATACTGATGCCAAAAATGCAATCAGTAAAATTTTTGTCTGTCTGTCTGTATATTCGTTATAGAAACAAAAATTACTCGACGGATTTTAACGAAACTTAGTACAATTATTCTTCATACTCCTGGGCAGGTTATAGTATACTTTTCATCACGCTACGATCAACAAGAGCAGAGCAGTGAAGGGAAATGTTAACAACGTCCACCCGTGCGACGCCAGGACGGGCCGGCTAGTATAAAATAAAAGTATGAAAAAAGAGCATGTATAATAATCATTTCCAAAGCGAAATTATCTGATTATTTCTCATGTTTTGTGTGTGACAGTGTACAGATGTTAGGTGCCACAGATAATGTAATACTATACTAGTATAGTGCATAGAATTCGAGAATTATTTCAGGCAAGGCATCAGTGAGAGGAGATAGGTGAGGGTGAATGCAGGTAAGTTAGCCCATCGTTAAGAATTCCGTGAGAATTAACTACGATGGTTTCTAGGAGGAAACACGTGAAGGTCGACTTGTAAGGGTACATTGCTAGGAATGGAACTGTTAGATCCCATTACTAACAATCCCTTTCCCCCCGGACTCGAGAATTAAAAACCACCTGTGTTTACATATGTAATACCTGTGTATCCTGGAAGAATTTGAGCACTAGTTGGAACAGCTTATTCCTTTCGACCAGGGGGAACCTCCTGAGCATCGCCTCGATGCAAGCGGCGGCCGCCTCGCGACACTCCGGCGCCTCGTCGTTCAACATCGACGCGCCTAGGGCTAACAGTAGATAGTCACCCTGCTTGCAAAGTTGCGGCTGGAAAATTATAGTGAAAACATATACTCTTCCACAGGATTTCCACTGTTTTATTTTTCAATTAATTACAAAATAATATATTATTGATTAGAGCCCCGAATACGTAAGAGTAAATAGGTAGAATTATCTATTATTTTTTTAAATAAGACATATTACTCGCTGATAATATAACTTGTATGAGTGAAACAATTTTTAAAATCTATATTTCTTCTGTTACAAATAAAAAATAAAATCTTTTATTTTTATATTGTAATATACAGATAAGACTTATCAGGCTTCATTAAAATATGATAGGTGAGGATGAAGTCAGCCCCCAAGACAAGTGGCAAACGATACCATCGATGGAATCGTTATTGAAAGCGAATCCATATATTGGAATGAGACATCCGACATTGTTGTCTAATTCTATCTCACGGACTCGCATCGATGTCGATCACATCGATGAATTCGCTTGCCAGTTGACTAAAGAGCCTGGTCAGTTGGTCTGTCGTGACGTATTTATCAGAAATGAATCACGATGCTTTTCAAGGAGAAATACGTAGGAATAGATTTAATAGGGTACATTGCTAACAAAGAGACCACGAGTTACTAATAATAGCAAATCAAAGGTGTTTATGAACATAAAACTTGATATGCACACATTTTAGGCTAAAAAATTTGTCGTCTGTTCAAGTCTTGACTAGAAATCAAGTAAATACTTACAATAGGTAATTTATTAATGATCATATCTAAGAACTTGAGTGATGACTCTCTCCCATGTTGTAACTCGTAATTGAGTTGCGTGACAAAGAATTGAACGTATTTATCCATTCGTTTGCCGGGTGAATAGTTCGTTAGATAACTAACGAATATTGCGCGTGCTTCATCCCTGAGGAAGAAATATTAGTATTATCAGGTATCTTCTTTTTATACCACTGAGGTGGTAAACAAGCACACTGACCATCCGATGGTAAGCAGTTACCGTAGCCTATGAACGCTTGCAATACCAGGAATATTACGCGCGCGTTGTAGACCCTGAAGAAACCTCTTTACCCCTATTTTGAAGAACCCTATGCTGTCTCTTGGGAAAACTTCGGCTGGGAGCTCATTCCAAAATCTGAGTGCTCGTAGGAGAAAACATCTCTGAAACCGCTCTGTACGCGACCATTTAAGCTGTAGGATATGAGAATGAACTACCTGTCGATAGCGAGCCGTACGATGGTAGAAAGTGGCCGTGGGCATCATATTGAACAATTCCTCTGAGCACAATCCGTTGTACAAGCGGTAGAACGCGCAGAGTGAGGCAAAATATCTTCTAAGACTTAAGGGTTTGATAGCGCTTGTAAGCCTGGGATCACCGACCTAGGTAGCTAGGTAACCAAAGGCCCTAGACTTAGAATCTCCTAAGACTTAAGGATATTTTTGTATAATAACGTAATGAGACAATATGTCATCATTCTTTTTCAATCTCAATATGTCGTAAATAATGACTAAGTAAAAAAAACCATACACCAGTGTTCGAAAAAAATCTTAAAATAATATGTAGTAACAAGAAAAAGTTCCGCATCATAATTGGTAATAGATAAGTGGATACTATATTAAAGATTGGATTATATCACCGTGTGATCCCGGCATAGAATGAGCCGTCCCTTCCTTTCCCGTGGGTATCGTAAGAGGCGACTAAGGGAATTTAATGATCAGCTGATGGGTAGCAGCGTTCTTCTTAAAACATCACCAAAGCCTAACTACGATTGCCAACCCACGTGCCAAGCGTGGCAACTACCAGCAAAACTCCTCCTTATGAGAGAAGCTTGCATTCAGCAGTGAACAATTTAATGGCTAAAATGATGGTGATGACATTGAAGACTAAACATTTATATATACCTAAAGAGATTATGTGGCACTGTTTTATTTAAGGCCCAGTTGAAATTAATTGCAAGTGGCAACTTATATGAATATATTGGTGAATAAGGAGGCAAAAAGGGTATATTTTGAATTACAGTATTTACAAAGTCATTGTTTCTGCATAGATACCCTAATAGGAGACAGATATCATAAATATGTACGTACTCATATAATATTTCGTTTATTACCTGGATCTCGCCGACTCGCTCAATATGCAGATCTTGGACACTTTCTCCAATACCTCGTGAAGTTCTGTCGATACCAATCTAGCATCCAAGATGGCTTTAAGCAGTGCAAACGAATTGGCTTGTTTCTCATCATTCTGACAATCTTCCTCCGCATACAGTAAAAGAGTTTTTAGTTGATCCGCTTCCAATTTGTAATATTTTACGTTACGTATTAAAGCCGTTATTGCCTGCAAATATTAATGATATTTTGTATTTTACCTTTGAAATGCACTGCTTATTGATATAAAAAGTCCATAACCAAATTTTCCTTCAAAAAGTCCCTTCTTAAACATTACTTCAAATTATCACAACAATAAAGACCTTCAATCTGTACTATTATATAATTAATCTTGATTTATATATTTATTATAATATGTATTACGTATAATTATTTATACATGTAGTGTAATTTATGTATGTATAAATTTTGTAAGTATATTATTCCATATGTTTGTATGTTCATTTATCTTAATATATATTAACGTTATTATCTCTGAAAATATTTATTTAATTTACAAATTGTTTTGTTAAATCAATACACAGCAATTTACTCTCTTTGTTAAGCGTAATAGTTGACTGGTAGAGAATGTCATTAGGCATTAAGTCAGCCCGAAATTATATTAACAAATATTAAACACATACCTTAAACGTGTTCCTCACTAAATGATAATTATCATTTTGTTTACTAATTTCAAAGGTCGCATATTTGTGCAGTATCAAGAATATCGTCTTCACAATATCCTGAACCATTTCCTCTAGGGTCGGCGTACTGACTCTGATCGTCCATAACGTCCCGATACACTTCATCGCCACAGTGGTTACTTTGACATGGTCACTTTTCAAGGCATCAACCAACAATGATATCAATGGGTCCACAAACACCCTGCAATCCATTCTTGGCACCTTTTCTCTTTTAAGTAAAACATAGAGCATATTTAAACTGAATTCCACTAATACATGAGCATTGACTTTGCCCGATATTTTTACATTTTTCGCTTGAGCCTCCCTATTGCGTTTTGGTGTTTCTGGTATGATAAAACAATCTGGTTTCGCACGTAGCATCTTTTCTCTCTGCTCTTCAGTAATTTCTCTCTTCGTTGTGCCTAACACAAATTCTGGTATACTATCTGATATTATCCCATGAAGAAAAACGAATAGTGATTCTATATCTATAAACTTATTCGTTACTAAACCACTTGAAATATGCAACAGTGCTTCTTGGACCTTTAATACAATCTTTTTGGAATGGTGCTTTTGCAGAACCTCTTTGAAAGGCAATAAAAGATTAATAAGATAGTTTTCCGTTATATTCTGTGATACAATCATCAGTGTGACATAACTCTTTTTACTTGGCTTCGCTTCTGGCGTTTTGTAATGTAATTTATCTACTTCTTTTTCTTCAGATAATGCCCCGAAGAGGTCGTTTGTGCAAACGTCAAGTATATAGTGGACGTTCTCATTCAATTCTCCAGATTTGAAGTCAGATTTTAAAGCATCTAATACCGTGTGAATAGTGGCAACTAGTACGTGAACTTGGAATCCCCTGGTCAATAACATTGTGAGATGTTCGAGCAAAATGGCAAGATACGAAGTACCGACAGTAACCATGATTTTCTTCACGACGTCTCGAGCCGATATTCTTACTTGTTTTAATGGTGATTTTAGGAATGAACACAGTTTTATAAATATCCTGCAAAATAATTAATTATTTATTATTTCCTGTTATCAATTTACTAGTAAATAATTATCTATACTTCCGTAATAGCGTGCTTGACTAATTTATAAACCAAATAAAACGCTATATCTCCAAATATACAAAAAGAAAACTACGCAGATTTGCCAACAAAATAATTTATTTATAGTTTCGGTTGCGATTTCCACAAAATCTCTTAATAGCCGTGTGTAAAATTACAATGAAATTAACTCTGTGTACGACAGAAGTTAATTAAAAAAATCTAAACTGTTATTATATGTCATTGCAAAAACTATTAAATATTTGTGAAGTTAAAATAAACATTATTATATATGTTCTTTTACTATTTATTCTTGGTACATGAACTAAATTCAATATCAAAAAGTTTTAAAGCCTGAAAATTAAGATACAACTAAAAGTCATTGAAAGTTTTTTGTTTTAAAGTAGATGTAGTATAAGCACTCACCCTGATAACTGATGTCTCAGCAAATCGCCAGGCAACCGCTGCAGCAGCTTTACAAGCGCTAAAGCGATGGGCACTCGTAGCATGTCTTCCTCCTGTCGCTCCAACCCCATGCGACGACGATTAAGCTTATGAGATTCTTCGTGATCTGTCATTTTTCCTATAGCCCTATAATAAACACATATTGTATAATTTATTTATTACATTTAATATATTATATTATATTAAGCATGTTTAAAGCTACGTAGACAACTTTTCATAATAATTAAAAATTATATTCAAATATGTTCGTAATCAGGGTATATAAAAGATCCGCCCAATTTTTCAAAAGGCACGATAAATTTTTAGTTCTATCGTAAATATTACATCAAAATAACCAATAGACATCTATCTATATAAATATCAGGACACTAATAAATTTATTTTAAATATTTTCAGAAATTAGAGGGATTAAAAAATATAATAACTTACCTATTTAACTGTGGGAGTAAACCAGCAGACAATGACTTAATAATTCTTTTAGCAACAGAAGGAGATACGCTTGTTATCCTTTCAAAAGCAGGTGCATCATTAACTTCTCTAAAAGATTCTTCTTCTTCAAGCTCCTTGTCAGCTTCTTTCAGTTTATTTTCAATGTCTGCTTCTGCAACTTGTTCTTCTAAATTGCTTTGATCTTCTTTATCATTATCCATATTGACAGTATTTGCATCAGATATTGATTTTATTTCAATTTTTCCCGATTCCAAATTTGTAACTAAGCTCTTAGGCAACTCGATACTTTTAACCTTAGAAAAGTCAAAGTGAAAAGCGTCTATTACTCCTATTAATATCCGAGTCAACTGTTTCTGATGCTCTGTAGAATGACGAATTTTGTTCAAATACAATTTTAGAATAACTTCGTAGTGATACCAAGGAAGCAATCTACAGCATGTCGAAATCACTTCAATGCATGCATCTATAAGTGTATTTTTGTCTGTATATTTATCATCACAAATATACATTGTTGCTAAGGGTAGAATAAAATTTGTGAGTGTCCTAGGTGTAGGGCATTTAGTAAGTTTCTTAGCTACTTTACAGAACTTTAACAAAGCTCTAACACGTCTATGCATTTGTAGATGGCACATGTTTTCAAAGAAATCAACTTCTCTATCTTCATTATTTGTTAAATGTGCTAAATCAGATAACACAACATCAGCATCTGGGGATTCTCTAGCCAAGTCTCCAAGTATAGCAATAGATTCATTTCTTAAAATTTCATTTTTAGTGTCTCTAATTCCAGAAGATATCAGAGATAGAACGGTATCACGAACTAAAAATTGACCATCATTAGAAGATCGGTACTTCATGAGCAATTTAGGCAATATTCTTTTCAAACATAAGGCAGCGCTATCACGTAGCCCAATATCTTTCTCAGTGCGAATAAAATAAAAACAATTATTAACAATTAGTATTGCCAGATCAACATTAATTTGATTATTTTCTGATAGTTGATAAATTTGTTTATACGCATCCAACCTTCTATCAAAATCTGGTTGTTCTATCCATCTTCTGTTGTATGCATTCATTTCTGATACAACATTGGCTATTTGACTAAAAGTACCTTTATTAGTTTTTGAATTTTCGGAGATAGAAAATAGGAGTTTTAATAGTAATTTTCTAACTTCCACAGGAACAACTTTGTTGAAAAGGACTGCTATATGTTTCAAATATAGTTCTGGATTAGAGCTGTGACCCAACAAGTTGATTATTGTAGTGACAGCATGTTCCATGTTTTCTTCTGCCATGTTCATACAAATTTTCTTTATAAGTATTGGCAATAACAGATTCAGTAATTCATCACATAATTCTGGATTCGCAACCAACTCAGTAACTCTTGATAAAACTAATAAATCTCTTTTATTGACCGTATTAGATTTGGCAGAATTAGAGATCCGCCTTTTCATCACTTCCAGTATAGAGGGAATGTGTGGGATCAATATTTTACTTCCGAAATTAATATCACTTACTCCCTCGATCTTTTCGCCACCATCAACGAGCAAAGTTTTAAAAGATTCAATAGGTGGTACTACTTTATCATCTTCATCTTCTGTTAAAGTCAGAAGCTTTTCAATCATATCTAGGATCGTAGTGACTACTCCAGGACTAGTTTTCGGTGCTAACAAAAGTTTGAAGATAAATGGCAATGGACTTAAAGAATCATCTTTTTCTGAGCAAGTGACTAGTAAAGTATAATATCTCGGATTCTGACACCAAGCATTCAGCAATTTCAATAATACAGTTGGACTGTGTATACCTTCAATATGTAATTTTGGAATCAATGGCCATAATAATGTATCATATATAACATATAATTCTTCTTTATTCCATGGATATTTATCAAATTGTTCGAACATTTTTCTCAGTGTACTTATAGCCAGTGTTCGTAGATTTTTCAAAACTTTAATATATCCTACATGAACTCTATCTCCTTGAGCCAATATACTTGCTAGTATAGAACATACAGCATAATAAACTGTAAACAGTTGACTTAGCAACTCGTCTTTCATATACCCTCCAAAATACTCTCTTACAACTTCAAATAGATTTAAAACACTATGAAGTTTACCAGGACTTATGACAGATTTCAAATCTAAATTCGACATTACATTTTCTAATATCTCTTTGGGTTCCATTGTCATGTATTGTTTAAAATGTGGGAAAGCCATTTCTATAAACAATTTCAATTCATTCTCATTGCAACCAGCTAAATATCGCATAACTAGGGATCGTCTTGTCTGCCCACCACCTTTTTTATCTGCCCCTAACTTAGATGTCATTTTTCCATATAAAATTCTCAATATAATAGGGACTACATGCTCTCTATCTTCTGGTTGTATACTGTTTGAATCCTCAGTTATTTTAAATTGAGTTAGTTCATCTTTAAGTTTGTTTTCATCTACTAAATTGTACAGATTATTTTTATATGGAATAACACTTTTGTTTTTGTAATTCAGAACACAATCCAATGCATATTTTTGAAGACCTGGATTTTTATGTTTCAAAAATTCCATATAAAGATCCCAAAACACAGGCTCCTTATAAAGAGCTCTGGGATTCTTGAACTGTGCTAGCACTTGCATTACACCAATTAAAGTTTTGAATATCATTTTCCCAGATGCCGACTCTTTATAGTTCTCAGGTTCTATAATTTCTTCTATATTTTCTGGGATTTCTTCATCAACTTCCATTTTTCCATTTTCTCGAATCTCGACATCAATAGTTAAAGCATTAACATTACCATTCTTTCTGTATTCTTCATCAATAAAATTCAAAAACAAAACAACAACATCACGATTTTTAGTTTCACAAACATGTATACAATTCGTCATAATCTTCAGAATTAAATTTCTATAGTTGTACAGATCAGGCCTTTCTGAAATACTGTTATACTTTGAGTAAAAATCTTTAAGAACCTGATAGTTACTTTCTATTTCATTATCAAACTGAAAAGTCTTCAAATCTTTCTTTGCATTTACAAATGACGATTCCAATGCCTTATAGAAAGTGGGCCAAAATTCTTCAATTGTGAAAGAATTTCCATACCCAGCAATGAATTCAGAAACTGGCTCCCACAGCAACTTAAAGTTAATATATAGAACACCAAGCATATAACTTAATGGAAAATATTTAAACTCTGTATCTTTCGCTAGTTCATACTGAATAGAATTAAATGACATCTTTTGCAACATGTTAATCTGACTTCTATATTCCTGAATAGAAGGATTAGTGGATTCAACAGCATAACATCTGCTGAATACTGAAAACCGCTCCATGCTACCTCCAGCTTCAACAGTCTTATTCAATTCGTCTACATTTTCAAATAATTTGTATATATGTGTAGTTAATAAACGAACCTGAAATATGTAAAAATATATTACTAAGTAACAATAACTAACAATATTATATATTTAACATACATTTAACATTTTACATACATAATTCTTATATATGAAAGATTATAATCTTTTGAATATTTTGATAACAATACAAATATGAATAAATGAAAACGAAAATTCAATACTTACAATGTGGAAAGGAGATGACACATTACTTCTTAGATATGAATCAACTAATAATAAATAAGGGTATGTCAATCCATTTTCATGCTCATATGCCGTAAGATATAAGTCTAATAAATGCAAAGCAACTACATAGTTAGGATCAACTGCACAAGGTAGTAATGTAGGCAACAGTGTGTCAATATCACATATCTCTCTTAATCGCTTACAGCTGGATATATGAATGGCGCTCTCCATAGCATTTGCTGTTATAAACAGTATCAATCTGGCACATCTGGACACAGCTGTGACGTCACAATGATATCTGTTGTGTTCTGGCTGATTTTCAATATTATAACTCATTAGCACATTCTGCAATTTCGAAATAAGTCCACCGACTCTTTTTAAACAGTGGTCAACATCGATTTTTTCAATGTGCGGCAAACAAAACAACACATTCATAAGTTTCATTGGACTCTGAACAATATTTTGGATATCCTCACTGAGAACATTATCAAAATATTCCATAAAATGTGGGAGGCATTTCCCAAAATCTATTGGATATTTGACCCAGTCAAAAAGTTTTATACCGTTTATGGATAATGGTGATTTCTTCAGACAAATTCTAGTGAGAGTACACATTGCTTCATTGTCAAAATCTGACTGAACAACAAAGTTGAGGAAAGGAGGTAAAATATGCATATCAAATTGAGGATAATCAATCACATTTCGAACAAAATTAATCAAAATAGAAGGATATGGTAAAGGTAGTAAAACTTTGACAATTATTCCCGCATGTTCTTGAGAGAGGGATACATTTGGTGAAAGAAGTAGTAAAGCTCCAATCTGTGCACACACTTCTAGAACATTCTCAGACGATTGTTCACATATCACCTTTACCAAAAGTAGAACAAACTGTGGGGGATTTGTCAAATATTTACCATTATTGTGCTCGATGATCTGACCTGCAAGTCTCAAAATGTACTCTAAACCTTTACTTTCTTCATTGTCTTTAAGTATTTCTTCAATGAATTTTAGTGCACTTTCCCAGAATATATTGTATTCTTTTGGTGCAATGGTCTGCAAACTGTCCTCAAATGTTTGAGTGAGCACTTTGAATAATGTACCCTGGTTTTCTTTATTGTCTTTCAGACTCTGCAGTAGCACTGGCAGAAAAACTTCTATGCAGCTGTGAAATTTACCACTGACGCCTCTCATTATTTCAAATATAAGATGCCCACATCCAGATATTGCCTGTAATAAGAATAATCATAATGTGTGCTACATAGCTACTAGATACATATGAGAGTAAAATAATTAAAGACTCTGTCCTGCAAAAAAGAAACTGATTTCAATTGTGACAAAACCAGTTATATTGATTTAAAAAGTAAACTACAGAAACAATTTTGATAAAATTTTTATGGGACCAATATGTGAGCGTATTGTTTCAGATAAAAAAAAATTGAATTTACTAAATCTGTTTACAACACAAAAAGGTAAAAAAAAGAAATATACGCGAATTTAGAACCTCCTTCTTTTTGAAGTTGGTTGGAAGGTACTTATAAAACAATTTCCATGTGGTTGATACCAAATCAAAAATATACAAAAGTCTTCATATATGTGTATGTATAGTATGGGTATTTCATTTGAAAGTATATTTCTACAATAAATAAGCTGTTATGGTTTCATGTTATGTAAAAATGCAGGGTACAGAGATATAATAATTGTGTATTTTTCTTATTCTTTTTTCTAGTGCTTTAAATAAAAAGCTATTATATTTTATTATTGTGATTTATTTTCTTGTTTATAGACCATGGTTTCCACTTAATTTTAGTGTAATAGTAAATATAAATTAATTTATTCATATAGATTTTTTTTTTTACTTTACTATTATCCAAGTTAAGAAATGTTAATTTGTTCTCTATTCAAGTTACATAAAAAAGTTTCAACTAGTTTGGTACTCACATCTTCATTAGTTGTTAAGTAATTAAGTATAAGTTCAATGAACTTCTTCTTGTCTCTTATATCACGAGCAACAAAAGCAAAGCTCTCTGCTGCAAAATTGTTAATATACTGCGGCTGATTGTCACTCAGGAGTGGTATGATTCGTTTTAACACAAGTGCTATATCTTTTTTCAAATATGGTTTTAATACTTTGAAAAGAAAAGCTAAACATATCAGTGTCCATTCTAGCCTTTCCGCATCTTTTGTGTCTAATAATTTAATGAGGATATCTAAGAATCTTGGGAAATAAGGATAAAAGTCGCTCCTTAGATCCTTTGCTATAGAAACTAGTATTCTGTAAAAAAAAAATGTATAATGCATAAGAGTATGAAGAAAGTAATAAGTATGTACAATTTTTACTTAGAAGTTTAAAAATTACCTTAAATTTTTCTATTAATTGTAATTTCTACATATTATCATTACCACTGTAATGGTTATCACTTTCTATCAGATAGATCATTGTTAGCTTTTTTGCCATTCTAAGTTACATAAAAAAAATCAGGAATTTCATAATACAAAAATCAGAAGATATTCTAACTATGCCAGCTAGGTCTCTCTCAGTAGTTTTTTTTTTTTACACTAGCAAGCAAATAATATCATAATACTAACACATATAAAAATATTCATTCTACGATATATGTCTAGCCACTTATCATGAATTGTCATTCCAGAGGACTGAGGTAGTTGTTAATTGTGTGTTAATTATTACAATACCTATCTAATCTTTCAAACCAAATTAAAATTAATGCAATACTACTCAATCAGATAAATAGAAAAATTTGTGGTACATAAGAATATTTTTCATTCAAATAAACTTAATTACAAGCATTATTGAAATATTTTTTTTATACTACTGAGGTTGCAAAAAGGCATATGGCCTACCAGATGGTAAGTAAGTAATGGTACCAGATGATATATATAGCCATTGCCTATATATTTAACCATTGCCAAAGCATTACAATTGCCATATCAATACCAAGGCACTATGTGCACTTTGCCAACCCTGAAAAAACCTCTATCCCTTTTTTGAAGGACCCCATGCTATCTATATATGTCTATCGGATAAACCTTGACATGGTATGGATATGGAATGAGCTCCCTTCCGTAACACAAGCAATTGTGGGAGGAATCATCACTGAAATAGTAACCACTGTATACAATTACAGAGATTTTTTTTTTATGATTCTACATATTAAAGCATATGACACAAACTGTATTAGTGGCAAATAAAATAAACCAAAATACCATATTATATCCTACTTTGAAAATTCATCATTAAAATAAATATTATTCATAACTTACTCAAGTAATGGTTGGAGACACAGTTGATCTTCTAATTTTAAATACTTCTCCAATATTGTGACCACATCTTCTTTGCGGTGCACTAATTGAGGCACAGTCACTATCCCAAACACTTCTTTCCGGAACTTTTTATAATTTTCTGTTAAGTTAAGACCATACCACTTCTGGAGTGCCAGAGAGAAATGTGTTTCATTTTCATCTGGTTGTGTAGTATATGCATGTTCAATGTGGTAAAGGGCTGCATGGCGGATGTCTATGCCATTAATCCTTTCAGCAAAAGGAATAAACTAAAAAAAAAGTTCATTATTAAAATGAAACTCTACATTTTTCTTTTCATTACAATAACTATTTTATATGATGTTCTTCTGTGAATAAAATAATTTTGACAATTACTGTATCTTCATCATATGCGACAGACATAACAAAATAAATTTATCAAGAAAAAAAGATTATCCTAACCTCAATAGACAGGAAAATAAGAGATGTTTGTATTACAACTTACCCGAAAAGTATTCGTAGTTTTATGTTTTACTGGTTTGCTCTTCATTGTTGTTAAAAAATTGAAGATATTTACACCATTTGTTATTGACTTAAACAATAAAGACACATTAAAAAATTAAACTAATTAATACAACGAAAGTTGTAAACAATATTCTTACCACATGTTAATGACAGTGACAAAACTGCACTAGGTAGTCTGTGCATATATGTCATCGCATAGATTAAAAAAATTGGAGCTTATTCAAAACACCGTTGATTTTAAATATATTGTAATTTCTATTTAGGTATCTGTCCTTTTCCTTATATTTTTCATTATTCAACTTTAATGATCCATATTCTAAATTCCGTCGTTCAAAACTCCTTTACTAAAATGCTTTTTCCCAAACTTATTTTTTGGCGGATGCACTTTGTGCCGTGCCATAAAAAAGGAAAACACCGTTAGTTAACAATAAAATTAAAATTTCAATTTAGTGATAAAGCGAAATAGTTTTTTTTATTAAATTATTATAATAATATTATTATAATGACAAGTAATAACATTAAATGTTTGTCAGATTATAATATTACTATATCATTTATTATATTATACAAATAACAAGAAAAAGTAATTAAAAATTTTAAAAATTATTTAAAGATAAAAAATTTCTGTGAGATCACTGCCAGCTGGTAGGGTGCCTAGGATACTTGCTGCATTTCCACGCTGAATAGCAATGGAAATGCGTTGACCAAAGTATAGGCCAGCCTTCTGGTCACCAGAGGTTTCCACCAGCCGGCGTGAAATCTCTTTGAAAAGCTTCATTGCCTCGGGGCCCCACGGACCCAAAGTTTCAACTCCAAACGCCGCAAATATATATCCATTTCCAAGGGATGAATATTTACGGCGCTTGATAGTCTCCTGGTGTGTTGCGGCGGCACCAGCCCTCTTGGACGTACTTGGAAGGTGAGACGGCGCCACCGTGTCGACGCAGGTGAAGTCCCATACAAGCGGACGTCCCATCTTCCAAGGTACCAAGGACATACCGTCAGGTCTCTTGCCGTCGTCACGTATCAAACCAGGAGGTTCTAGAATGGCAGGCACGCCTGCGGTGACAAGAGCCCGACGGTACAATATAATTACTATATTATATTGTATCCTTTTTTTACTTAATATATAACTAAAAAAATTTTTAAAACTTTTTTCAAAACCTACATATTAGTTTTTATTTAAACAATAAATTATAAATACAAAAACAATTAGGTAATAAAATCAATATTATTTTCAAGTATTTATTTAAGGTAAATAATATACGGCAATCTAGAAAATGACCTCGTGAACGCATAAATGTGCCCAAAAAATAATATAATATTATTATTATTTATATTAAAATAAATAAATAAAATGAAATGTAAATCGCTAAAACCTTAGTTGAAACATTCACGGAATTGCATATAAACACGTACTGAGGCAGTTAGACTAAGAATAACAGCGTTGTCTGGCTATCAGTGTCAGTGTCATTGTTATTAAAAAAATTAAAAAGGAATATTATCGTATTGAAATTTATCACTTGTTTATGAAAAGATTATAAATTTATACCTAATATTATCATTTCAATATTTTTCCTTTTTTTCTATTTTATACTATTTGTATTTTGTTCAATGCTTGCTAGGATTGTTAATGCATTGCCGTTTGGGCTATCACAGCAAATCACGAAGCTTTACTTCCAAGGTAAGTAGGTAATGTGTGTTTTTGTAAATAGATAAATTCTCAAGGTCTAAGAGACATGAGATTTAATGTCAATTAAGTATATATCATACAACAAATATTAAATAAATCTTAAGAAGACTGTGGTCACTGGTTAAACATCGACGCGTGATCTTAAAAGCCGGCCCCGATTAGAAAAAAGCAAATTAAAGGCTAATAAGAGATTGTATTAATATATAAAACTCTCGAAAAAATTGAAATTTTTCAAATCATAAATGTGGAAACAATAAATAATGTGCAACTATATTTTAAAATTCCAGATATTTTAACTTGTCTAATCCATTATTTATAATTTTAAACTAATAATAAGTTTCATATTTTGATTATAATTATTACAACTTCTTGTAAATTATTTCATGTTGTGAATTTGGTATCCTCATAATTATAATATTTTTTTGATACTTATATTTAAAATAAGTATATAATGGAATTTTTTTACTACTTTATTTATTTAGATATGCCCAATTCAACCTGCCCATTTTAAATATTGTTTTGTATGTTTTGAGTTGTTAATGTATAGAATAAATAATAATATTTTTTTTTAATCTATAGCACTTGTGCGTAACCAACGAGAGGCTCATAGTTTTGAAGAGTATCACGAATATAACAATATGGATGTTAGAATACTGCCTGCACTTCAAGACAACTACATGTATCTAATTGTAGACAAGGCAACTAAAGAAGCAGCTGTAGTGGATCCTGTTGAGCCCAGTACAGTCTTAAAAGCAGTGAAGGATAATGGACTAACTCTTACCACTGTGCTGACTACACATCATCATTGGTAATATTAGTTTAAAAATATATTTTTTAAAATTTCAGTATTTAATAAAATTTATGAGAAAGGTTATCAACCTTACCCATTGCCATATATGAGGGATGCAAACTCATATCTTCATCAAGACCAACAAAAAAACTAATGTGATAAATACAAATTCTTGACAATGTTTGATTTAAATTATAATTTTGCATGTTATAGGGATCATGCTGGAGGTAATGAAGATTTAGTTAAGCTACACCCAGGCCTCCAGGTGTATGGTGGGGATGAGCGTATTGGTGCATTGACAAAGAAGGTAGAACACAACACCAAGTTTAATTTGGGACATCTGAATGTACAATGCTTGTTCACACCATGTCATACTTCAGGTCATATTTGTTACTTTGTAACAGCTCCTGAAGAGGGCAATGAATCTGCTGTTTTTACAGGTAAATGGAAATTTATATACTTTGTACTTTTTTCTATATTTAAGGTATTTCTAGTGTGTCACAATACATAATCTAATCTCAGGATGTTCTTGATGTTCTTTTTATAAATTACTTTTAGAAATGTCTGTCATAGTAGATTAATGTTGTACAGTCATGAGCAGTTTTAGGTCCAGCAGTGATGATAAATTATGCTGATATTTTTATAAATCTCCAGTGAATAATATGACAGAGCTGCATTTTCTATTTTAATAATTTTGTTTTTGTCAAATTTCTTGTTCTATTGAAAATACAGCTCTAGAAAGAGAGATTACTTGTTTATTCAATAGAAAATTGCTATGTCAGAATTAAAAAGGAACAAATACAATTTTATTTTTATATTTTTCTTACAGGAGACACTTTGTTCCTTGGTGGTTGTGGAAGATTCTTTGAAGGCACTGCAGAACAAATGTATAAGGCGCTAATCACAATTCTTAGTAGTCTTCCTGATCAAACTAAGGTTTTCTGTGGTCATGAGTATACACTGCAGAACCTAAAATTTGCCCGACATGTCGAACCAAAAAATGAGGACATACAGAAAAAAATATTGTGGTCAGAGGAGCGACGTCAGGAAGGAAAACCCACTGTTAGTTTGTCTACATAGATCTATATCAATAATAAAACTATTATATTTTTATTTAAGAGTCATGCAGAAACTACTATACAAATTTGACCAAACATATAATATTTAATTTTTTTTTACAAATTTTTAATAAGAAAGGCTTATGAATGGGTTGTAATGATGATGAAAGCTTATTGAAAATTATATTGGAATTAAATATGTGAAGTCAAAATGCCTAATCGAGGAAGTAATTAATTATGATAAAAGATCAACCAACCAATGACCAAACACTATTTTTTTATCAAGGTTAATTATATATAATTATAAATATATATTTAATATAAATAATTATATATTGTATTACTGTTTGTTAACTTTAATAAAATAAAAAAAAGGTTGCAAAGGTTTAACATGAAATATGAGCAATGAACTTAATGGTCAAATGTCTAAAAACTACAGTATTCTCTAATATCAAATGGATTATATGCTTGCTATTGAAATACATATAATCCTGTTTAAAATATATACAGCACTAAATATGTTTTTTCTTATATTCTAGGTACCATCAACTATAGCTGAGGAAAAGCTGTATAATCCATTTATGAGAGTAACAACGTCACCAGTGATGCAGCATGCCAAAAAATCAGATGCTATAGAAACTATGAAAGCCATTCGCTCAGAAAAAGACAATTTCAAAGCTTAAAACATAGATTTTTATGTGAAACTTGGCATTTATTATTTTGGGCACAAGATTTTTGTTTATTGGTTATATGTTGTTATGAAATAAAATTATATTTGTAATTTGCCTATTTTCTATGTGTATTATAATAAAACTTCTGATATCTACATAAATTGATTTTGGTAGGATAAATTAGGATATGGAAATAGGATTTCTTTTTCAATTAAAATTTATAATATTATAAAATATTATAATTAAAATTATTAGCCTAAACTTAAAGCTGACCATCACAAGTAATTAGAAACTAATCAATTAACTTATGTCATTGTTCCTTTTTTATGTATGCTGACATTTCTTCTGCATATTTTTCCTTTGATCTTTCAAACATTGCTACATAAACCTGAAAAAAAAAACATTCATTATTAATTTCTTAATAAGTTTATATATAAAAATAGATCAAAACCACCTAAATTTCATCAAATAAATTATAAAAGGTCAGAGAAGATTAATAATTGCATAATAATAGCCTATAATACATACATACATATCTGTCACGCCTGTCTCCCATTAGGGTAGGCAGAAACAATGGAACGCCAAATGCTTCGATTCAAACAAACCTCTTTCGCTAGATAGCTAATATCCTATAACTTCTTAATAAATAACCATCAAATTCAAAAAGATTTTTTAAAACAGATGCTATTTCAGATATTAGCACATTTAAACTTCCACTTTATTATATTAATATAGTGTTTTCACTGTCACTCCACTAGACCTAATACCTATATAACCTAAAGGTATTTGAAGATTCCTGTAGAAATGAGGTATGGCTATGATTGTTTCTCATTACAGTGACACATTTATATCATAGTAAAATAAAATTGATGACAATAGTAGTTAACATTGTTAATAATATAAGTCTGTAAATTAATTTACCCTTTTTTCTTCATTAGTAAGAGATCTCCACCGTGAAGCTAACTGCCTTGTCACTTCTTGTTTAGATGGTTCTGATCCCATTTCTGAGTTGGCCTCAGCAACTACCAAAGGCCTTTGTTCTTGACAGAATTGAAAGAAAGCATTACATGGTTTTTTTGGTGCATTTGGATCTCTCTCGGGCTGCAGACAATATTATGTTAATGTTATACTAGTTAACATCCAGTAAGTGTTTAATGACCCATATGATTTATGTTAGAAATTTATAAAATTGAAAACAATTAATGCACTAAGTTTCTTGATAAGTATTATATAGTATTTTTTTAGAAAGGTATATTTTATTCAATAAGTTACACATAGACAAAAAGTAAGAATAAACAATTATATATAAGTAATTAATACATAAAACTGTTAATTCAATCCCTATTACTGTTTACTTTGACAAAGATATCCACATTGATTACTGTTTGTATAATTCATAATTAATAAATAATTGGAGAGAATGTTAGTAAATAATAAAATGCATGATTTGCAATTATAATATTATAGAGATTAGAGCACAAAAAATAGTAGTTCACAAATGAAACCTCACCTTATCTGCTTTACTTTTCCTTTTGGGGCCAGGTTTTTTGCCTCCAGCAGAGTTTTGTTTATCAGCAGGTTTTGAAGATTGTGTTTTAGGGGCGGGGCGGGCAGGACGAGACACTACCTCAGGCTTCACCTCCACCTCCACTGAAGCTGTTCTAAAGGGGTCACCATGTCTATCCAATCGTTCAACAAGCAGCTTTACATCCTTACGATAGCGCTTCGTTATTTTCTTTGCTTCATGTATCCTGCATAATGTAATAATGATATGATCATTAATAATATATTCACACACGGATAACATTAAAAGTCTTATTAAACATGATATTGGACGCACCTATTAATAATTCTTTCATTATCTTGTTGTAACACTTCACATCGTTCCAATAGCAATTGATATTTTCGCCTATAAATTTCTTCTTCTGATGGTAAACTAACCATATCATCAGAGTCGTCAGAAATATTCGAGTTTAGCTGTTGTACTGTCATTTTAATTTATTTTACAGCTACAAAGTTCAACACGATCAAGTTGATTATTATTTAGCTGTCGGCTGTCATTTTCGTATAGTTTCATCATGTTGGTACTGCATTATATTCGGATACACCAAGGGCAGAATGCTTTTATCGTAAATTAATACCCATTAAAATAAATAAGTTTTTTTATAGTAAATGGTTTAATCGAAATCTGTTGTAATCGAAACTTATGATTTATAAAAACATTTATACCTATAATTCTTTCTGAGCATTCATATTAAAAAGTAATTCGTGCATATCTAACAATACAGTTAAAAAAAATGCTCGTGTAAACAAAAACTTTGGAAGATTTACGATTATGCTCATCTTAGCCAACATCACAATAATTATACAAACAAAAAAAATCTTAGGAAATTAAAAAAAAAACCGCGCTTTGACTATTTTTCGAAATTGTTACCGCGGTTGCGCATTACGAAACCAAAGATTCCAGTACACCTAGCATTGATCGTGTGTTTATAACTTAGCATAAGCATACTGTCGACTGCTGTCGATGGTTAATGCAGTGTTTTAAACAATTATAATGCAGATGTGGTGATATGGATATAAAAAAAAAATCTCTCAATAATGAACGGAATTTTAGATTAATATCAAGCAGAAGAAATTTGTTACACAAATGACTTCCAGAAATAGCAATGAAATGTTTTCCGGCAATATCGAAACGAACTATGTTTATTTATTTCACATTATTGTTTCTATTATACTTATTCTATGCTCTGAATACATGTTTAGTTGACGAAAAAAAGGTAAATAGACTATTTACAGAATTGCATGTTCATATAATAATACATAATTCAGAATTTCTTAATCGTGCAATTTATTTTTTAGCTCACACAAAAATATTTATTTATAAAGCGACACATATCGAATTATAAAAATGTGCCTGTGCGGTTTGCTTCACTATTAGGGTTTCATTTCGGCGAAGTTAATAAATATAGAATTAGTCCGGTACCGATAAAAAGACTGCCGGATGCCTTAATCATCGGAGTTAAGAAGTGTGGTACACGAGCATTGTTAGAATTTTTAAGGTACGTAAAATGTTTATACTTATCTAATCCTATCCCTCCGATTTTTCAAAGAGAATCAGTATACCTAAGTTTTTCCCGCATACCAAACTTCATTGAAATCCGTTCAGCAGTTTTTAGAATGTGTCTATTAGAGAGCGATGGACTGTGATGAGGTGATAAATAATGAAGACACGGATTTTAGCGGGAAAATGTGTATTAACAGCGATGGAGTAAGAAAAGAACGGATATTATCAAAAAATACAAAATTTAAATTACAAATAAAAACATTCTAAAAGTAAATTTGTATAAAAATTATATAATAAAATTTAAAGAATTTGCATCGGCCAATCGCCAATAGCATCATTAAATCAACATTCAAGCTATGTACTTATAAACTTGAACATTTAACATATTAAAAACGATTGTAAAAGCGATTTATAATATGCAAAATCAAAAACGCACACACGCACGCACGCACGCACACGCGCGCGCGCAAGTATAGTGAAACTCCAAGCATAGTCATTTACATAGCTCGCTCTTCGATTTGGAGTAACCTTTTTGAGTTAGCAGTGTGCGACTTCGTTTCAGTTCCATAAATCATCTCGGGCAACACGAACTATTAGGGGGAAAGGGATTGTTAGTAATGAGATTTAACAGGCCCATTGCTAGCAGTACACCCTATCAGGTCGACCTGACTAACATATGTTATCCTTCACTGGTGCCCCGCCAGAATATACCGATAGCGCATGCAGGGTTACCATTTCATCTTCACCCATCTAAAAAAATAAGCACTATTACAAAGTATATAATGGTCTTATTTGTATGCATTTACAGATTGCATCCAGATGTTAGGGCGGCAGGATCCGAGGTGCATTTCTTTGACAAATATTATCATAAGGGTTTCGAATGGTACAGGTACGTTATATATTTAGATTATTATTAACTCTTTTTATCGTCTGAATCGAATTTATGCGTTAAAAAACTTATGTATATATTTCTTTTCTTCTGCCCATTAAACTAGAGTCTAACTGCCTATTAGGCACAATAATAAAAAATATATTGTTTGTCATCTTTGTGGTATAAAAAGAGAGAAAGAATATAGAGAAAAGTTACAATATTTTTAAATTATTTGTTAAAGTCAGATCAGAAATATTAAAAAATCAAAGTGTATCAAATTCAAATTCAAAATATCTTTATTCATGTAGGTCTATTACAGACTCTTATGATATGTCAAATCTACCGTCAGTTCGGTTGATTTCGAGATGAGAATAACGAGAAGATATTAAGTATCAATCATAAAAAATAAAGCTATAAAATTGCCGAAGCTACAGAACCTATGGGTTAAAAGATTAAGCGACCTTAAATACCAAATAAGCTTACGGCATACCTGATGGATGACGATCGGCGCCTAGTGCTTTTGACTTATATTATACTTAGATATATTTTTAGAAACAAAATGCCACCAACCCTTGAAGGGCAGATTACCATGGAGAAGACCCCATCATACTGGGTAACGAGATCGGCGCCAAGGCGGGTGTACGCAATGAATCCGTCAGTCAAGTTGCTAGCAGTAGTGAGGGACCCAGTTACTAGAGCGATCAGTGATTACACACAATCAGCAAGGTACCTACATGAGTCTAAATCTTTCACTATGATTTTTTATAGTAAATGTTGTGAAACCTCTTTGTATTTTTTATTTTTATTTTTTGTCAATGACAATATATATACACTTATTCTGGATGCGTCTTTCTGCGATCGGAACATGATAATATGGTAACAGTACAACTTGTTCTTGCTAAAAGTAGAGTTACTCCATTGAAACCAGTTACAATGCCGAGACTTGAATTAATTGCAATAAAAAATACAAAGAGGTTTCACAACAGTAAAGTTTTAACCGTCGCCTATAGACATGAATAACATCATGGGCATTATATAATACTGTGATGCCTGTGATATGCTCGGCAAAATTTTTTTTTTTATGAATTGTAATGGAATGGTAGCCCCGCTCACGCTAACGGTTATACACTGGCGGGGCTCCAGTGAGAGATGATGGTGAGAATGAAAATGCAGGTCAGGTAGCCCATCATGATGAATAAACCTGGAATTCAGCACCAATCTTTAGGTACACTAATTGTTATAAGTAGTTTTACGAATTTAGTGGTATAACGGTCTCAACACTATTTAATTATCATCGAAATAGTTACGGGTTCAATGCCGGTACAATATACAGTTATTTGTATTGCTCTGTGCATTTTTATGTATAAAAAGAAAAAAGAAATATGTTTACTTTTATAATCTCTAATAGTGTAGTTAAAGGCATTTGTCGATTGCTAGCGTTATTGACAACTGCTTTTGTATTAAAAAAAAATTAAATGCGTCATCAGTTTTGTTCCTTAACACAGTTTATTTAACGTTTAGATTACTCTGTAATGTGTTTATATATATTTTTATTTATAACAGTAAAAGACCAACGCTCCCCCGTTTTGAAGATCTGGCACTAGTGAACAGTACAGTGGGCTGGGGTGGGATCCCGTCTGTGGTGGATGCAACCTGGCCGCCTGTCAGGTTGGGTATTTACGCTCGTCCCCTGCGCCGTTGGCTTCGAAGATTTCCCAGGACGAGGCTCTTGTTGATTAGCGGGGAGAGGCTCGTGGCTGATCCTGCTGCTGAGATGGCTAGAGTGCAGGTAATCGTTTTTAAAGTTACTCTCAAAGTCGTAAAAAAGTCAGACAATTTGTCTAAATTTTTTCCGACTGTTAGACGACTAAGTATTCTATTTTAAATTAAAATTGAATGGTAATCCCGCCCACATTATCGGTATACGCCAGCGAGGTATTAGTGAGGGATGATAGGTTTTTTTTATGGAACTTAGAATGGCAAACAAGCTGACGGTCCACCTGATGGAAAGTGGTAACCGTCGCCTATAGACATAAGCAGTACCATAGACATAACAGAGTACATGTTCGTCCATGATACTTCCTATGCGTTATCATTCCTGAGGACTCAGGTGTTATTCTTCTGTACCCTGTAAATTCAGTGCCATATCTTACCCTTCAAACCGAAACACAGCTATGCAAACACAACTGTTTCACGGTAGAAACGCGAATGGGGCAGAGGTGGCCAAGCAAACGACTTTTAAACAAAGTCTTCGGTTAGAGGTAGGTGAGGATGAACTCAGGCCAGTTTGCCCATCGAATTTTTAACAATCCCTTTCCCCCCAAGGAGGATAGTGTTTACGATAAAAGTTTTTTGTGAAACAATATATGTAATTTACTTCTTTGTTTTTAAGGAGTTTCTTGGTCTGAAGCGCGTGATCACCGAGAAGCATTTCTACTTCAACTCTACCAAGGGTTTCCCGTGTCTTCTCAAATCTGAGAGTCGGTCTACTCCCCACTGTCTCGGGAAAACCAAGGGCAGAAATCACCCGCACATCGACCCAACAGCCCTAGAGAGGTTAAGAGATTTTTATAGGCCATTTAATGAAAGATTCTATCAAATGTCAGGTATTAATTTTGGTTGGCCGTGATATCCTAGTATTCCATTGGTTATCATATTAGAAGGTAAAATAGAAGGAAGGAGAGGAAGGGGAAGGCCAAGTAACCTGATGTAAGACCAAGAAAATGTTGAGACCAAGGAAAAATTTGGTGTCGTGTCGTAAAAAGAGGTGAAGAAACTCGCTGAAAATCGCAGTAAGTGGCAAGAGCTCCACCAACAAGAGCGTATCTCTTAAATAATAAAGGAATACAAAGTACAATGGTTAGATACACACAGGTAAACAGGTAATTTAATTCCTAATATTACTTTAATTTCTTACATTTAGAAATAATCACCGACTTTATATAATGATATTATTGTAGCTCTCAATTGAGTTACACAATCTTTATATTGTCAAATTGACAGCGATTTTGTAACTTGTCAATTAAATATATATTTCTCAATGTTCATTTAAAAAATGGTGCAAACTAAAATGACAACTAACATGAACTAATTATATAAAAAGACTTTATGTATGTTTGTTTTTAAAGGATAAAAATATTTTTTTTTACTTTATCAGAAAGTAACATGTACTTATTATTTATTACAAAAAAATCTGCGGAGCCAGTCTTTAACATAGTAAATATGAAATTTTGCAAAGATATTTGAATATTTATTACTAAATTCAATTTCAACAGCTCGAAAGATTTTAATTAATGTATGTAATTCCATACAGATAGACGTAAAATACTTTTTATCTTATTTTACAACGGCAAAGTTGTATGATACAGTAAAGCATAAAATAATATTAATTAAAGCATAGATATAATATTTAAATTAAACGTAACTATGTACTTAGTTAAAAGTCAAGCGTGGCATCTACTGACCCCAATAAGGGGAGGCCTATGTCCAGAAGTGGACAGTTAACGGCTGACATGATGACTTGCTAAATTATTACTATTGTAAGATCACTTTTTCTCTGAGATAGAAATAAGTGGAAATATCAATGTTTTATGTTCTTATATAACATCTTGTAGGTATGTACATATAATTAGATAGTAAATGTAGCCGCTTTCCAGTTCCTAGAGCAAATAATTGTTAAGTGTTCCATTTTTTAGTATATAAATAATTTTTTGAAACTTTTGTACTTCATAATTTATACGATTATGAAGTTGCATTCTATTTAATTGTAATGTCTCCATAGGTCAAACATCTAGATGGAGAGTTGAGTGTCAAAAAAGGGCTAGCCAATATTATCGCTTGAGGCGTTGTTCATACTGTACAAAAATACTTTTAAACATTTTATTTATGACTAGCGGCCACGGGTTTAACATGGGTGGTCATTTTTACATTTTAAAAAGTGGCTATTAAGGCTGTACACGCGACGGAAGCTTAAAAATGGAGTAACTTCTCCCGTTTTCCCAATATTTCCCTATACTGCTCTGCTCCTATTGATCGTAGCGTGATGAATACTATAACCTGTCCAGGAGTATGAAGAATAATTGTACCACGTTTCGTTAAAATCCGTCGAGTAGTTTTTGTTTCTATAGCGAACATACAGACCAACAAACAGACAAAAATTATACTGATTGCATTTTGGCATCAGTATCGATCACTAATCACCTACTGATGGTATTTGGAAATATATTTCATGTACAGAATTGATCTCTCTACAGATTTATTATAAGTATAGATTAAATTCAACTTTTGGCATTTTACGAATTGTAAATTAGTACAAGAAAAAATATATATTCAACCTATTTGGAAATTTTTCAAATATGATTTCCACATTTTAATAACATTTCTGATAATTAAATGATGGCTTATGAGAAAAAAGTTGCCATTTACATGAATAATAACGATTTCATAAAAAGCGCGCCTTTTTTTATTGTTGGCTTTTTTTATCTAAGTATTTCTATTTTTAGGAACACTCTATCTAGATGTTATTGATCTACCTAAATAATGTTTAAACATGCACGGTATTTCAAGTTCTTTTGTAATTGAAATTTAGGTATGATATGGTTTTAGGCCTAGATCGTAAAGGGTGCGAAAGTAGTAGTAATAACATACAGATAAAATTATATCCTATGCTATTATGTTCTAATCGTAATATTAAAAGCACAAAGTCATCGAATTCATGTATTCATTAATTATGCTAGTATATTGTTCTACTTTGAGGTGTGGAACAGATGATCTTAAACTATCGGAGTCTTCACAATTACGCGTGGGTAGGTTTGACAATTTCTCGTACTCGGTGACGGGACTACTCGCTTGAAGTTAGCTGTTTAACAGCAGTAGGTAATCGCGCGTTGTTCACACCGGTCATTTGATGTGACCAGCTACAGAGGAATGGGCAGCAGCGTCCCTTTTTAAACGTCACAAAAGTCTAACTGCGGTAAGCTGCCAACCTCTCGATAGGAGAAAGCCTTTGTTCAGCAGTAGACAGTTATAATGGCTGATATAATGATGGTGATTGTTATTCTGCCCATTTTTATGTAACTTAAAATGGCAAGCAAAGTGACCGCCTAACTTAAAAACTGGTGTTTTATTTTGATACGCAATCTAGAAATCTTCTATTTTAACCCTTTGCACTCCAGCCTAGTAACTCACAGAGGATACCAAGAACTCCAGCACTATATTAGTTACAAGTACATAACTGTGATGTAAAAGAAAAATGGAATCGTTGCAATAAAACAAAACATTTATTTCTTAGTTATTTTATAAAGGGCGCTGAGTCAGTACGAACCGTGTCGCCGTTTTAATGTCGCAAATACGGCGATAACGGAGAGCAAAGGGTAACGGTTTCCTGCTTTCGAAATCTATGCGTACGAAGTAGCGGACAAAAAGGTAGTGTTATTATAAACTTATTGCACTCAATTCCACAGTATCATGTTATGAAAAAAAATCCAACCGACTTGAAAAAAATAACCAATTATTAGCATTTTTTAACAAGGCTAGTGAGTAGTCTATTTCAAATATAATATTAGCTACTTTTTTTTATACAACTTAGAATGGCAAAAAACTGACGGCCCACCTGATGGAAAGTGGTAACCGTCACACATAGACATGAGCAGTACCATGGACATAACAGAGTATACTGTTTCGCCCATAATACCCCCCATGCGTTGCCATTCCTGAGGACTCTGGTGTTATTCCTTTGTACCCTGGAAATTCACTGCCATATTCCACCCTTCAAACTGAAACACAGCCATACAAAGAACTGCTTTACGGTTACTTTATTAACTGTCATTAATTAAAGATAGTGTTAAATGGTTGTGGAAAGTAAAAGAAATGGATGCTTGTAAATTTGTGTGATAATTCTCAATAAGATATTTGATAAAATTTGTTTACTTAATCCAATAAATAAATGGACTTTTTGTTTATGAATACTTCATTAAGATTTCAATACAGCATAGTTTAAAATAAGTAAACAATGTTGTTAATTTGACTGTATTTGAAAGTTCAAATGTTAAAAATGTTGATACATTAAAATACAAAATATTTTATGATGATAAATCAATCCTACGATATTGACAACGACATTAGGTGCTTTATAATTTATTAGAGCAAGTCACGATATAATAGAAAAGCAAATCCAAACTATCGTGGTTTATTCTTGACTGTCTTTTTTTTTATTCGTGATGTTTTCTTTTGATATTGTTTTTTTATTGTTGTTTATTCGTGACTTGATTTGTCACGATGGACGATAGATGTAACTGATGCCCCGCCAGCGTCTACCGATAGTTTAGAAGGAAGACCTTGCCATTACCATTCGTTAAATATCTATATATATCTACATAGTCCAAAACAAAGTCAATTCCGCCGTCTGTATACTTAAATATTTTAAATTACGCAACAGACTTTAATGCAGTTTTCATCAATAGATACGAGCAAGAGGAAGGTGTATACGTATAGTTTAATATTACGTTAATTTGTTAAAATATGATGACAATTGCTCAAGATATTGGAAGAAATCAAGTCGACTGAGAACTTTCATCGAAAATTGTATTAGAACTATAAAAATTTCAGCGATAACATTTTATGTTAGACAGACAGCTTTCTATAACAATTTTAATGTTTAAAAGATTTATACAAATTATGTCGAACTTGGAAATTTATTTAGACAATAGTAATACATATCACAATATAAATGACACCACATTGTTTCTACATTGGACCCGAGCGAAGCACAGCGGGTTGCTAGTATATAAACAAACAAAATGTATGCAATTATATGGAGACACTTTTATATTTCCACACTGATACCCTAGATGGCCAATGAAACTTGAAAAATTTTTCATATAAATGCACACATTTTGTTATCTATTATATCGTATCGCTAAAATCAAGACCGTGCCATTTTATGGTAAAAAGCATCCATTGAAGGTTGTATCTGAGCAATTAAATTGATATTTCTATATTCTTTAAGTCAATGATATTACACATTAATATAAAATACATTTCGGAATATTTGCTCATTAATTAAGCACAATTTATTGTAAGTAGTCACTAAGTAGACAATATCGCACAAAGCCATCCGCAACTCACGTGCCATGTAGCTATATGCAATATAATAAAGCTTTAATTACTTGTATTCGATTTTATTAATAAAAAGTTAAATTTAAAAATGTTATGTTATTATTTTATACATCCAAGATTTTATATTATGATAGGCAAATCTTCAACTCGAGATATCTAAATATTAAAAGGATCAAAATTAAATACTGTGACAAAATTAATTCAATGGAACAGAAAGTTTAATAAAAAAATAGGGGTATGTTTCGGTCATTAAAAATACAATATCCTGAAACTTTCATATTTATTATGAACAATATAAGTTTTAAACAAATCAATCAATGTACATCACTAGCTGGTATGTACACGGGCAAATTATTTGGCATGACTTGTATGTATGATATTGAAGAAACACCTACAGCAGCGAAAACTATAGGTACCTGGTCCTCGTATTTGGAGATGAGAGCGCTGATTTCCGCTCCAGATGGTAATGTAGACGCTTCACTGAAAATGTTAATAAATTTTATTTGTATAATTTATTTTAATTAATCTTGAGATATATGTATTTAGGTATATATGAAAACATGATAACAATGATAATGCGTTTACATTATATGCATTATGTTCTCGTTGATGTTTATATCTATAAGCGGAGTTACCACTTTTAATTTGAATGGTAGTTACATTGTATCATAGAATAGAAAACATTTATTGCCAGTAAATATACAATCACAATAGAAAATATAGAAAAATACATATACAAGAAGTGTCCCATACTAGGCAAAAGAAACCGAATCAACTGATGCTGTAAGTGTCCCAGCGCAATGTGAACAGCAGAACAGCGCTGGTTTTCAGCCAGTCCCTTAACAAAATACAACAAAAATGCAGGGTACCACTGTAATTGCTTCTTACAAGAGGCAATTACAGTGTACATGTATCATAGACACAGTATAACGTATTTGCATACTAATAGATTGCAATGCCCTCATATAAACGAGACAAAAATATAGTTACACATGTGCGTTTTGTAAATGTGTGCATGCATGTGACAAAACTTAAATATTTTTTCTTTACCAATTCTTATTCAAAATATTTCTTAATTGTTTACTGCCTAATCACGTGAAAAATGTGCAAAATCCTTGATATAAGAATTTCAAATATCGAACAAACGAAGCCTCTTTTTCTACAATCTCATAGATTTCTATCAAGTAATCGATTCTAATATAATTTTTCAAAAACAAAAAAGCTTATTTCCATACGCCCAGTTAGTTTCTGAATACATACTAAGTGATATATAAACGCATCTTAACAGATTAAGTAAATTTCTGAACGCATGCCAGACACTACTGTGAGCGAAGCTGAAAATAATTGAAACTTATCTACGTTCTACAATGAGTCAGAATCGGTTATCTGACCTCGCGATCTTAGCCATTTAAAACAAAACTGCCTATGTGATGGATTTTGAGGAGCTTTCTATCATCGTATGGCTCGCCATCGACAGGGAGTTCACCCTCATACCCTACAGCCTAAATGGTCGCGTACAACGCGGTTTCAGAGATGTTTCCTCCCACGAACACTCAGGTTATGGAATGAGCTCCCTGCCGAGGTTTTCCCAAGAGACTACAGTATGGGTTTCTTCAAAAGTAAAGAGGTTTCTTCAGGTCGGCAGCGCGCGCGTAATACCTCTGGTATTGCAGGCGTTCATAGGCTACGGTAACCGCTTGCTTGTTTGCCACCTCAGTGGTATAAAAAAAAAAAAGCTAATAGATTCTTTCTCAGAAAAGAAAGCACGCCGTGTAAAGTTGTAGTTTTTCCTGGTTATATATTATGTTTCCGTTTTATGTCACAAATGAAGGTTATTAGTTATTAGATAACAAAAAGTTTAAATTTATTAAAGGATTATTACTTTAACAAATGATCACAAAAATGTATTGGTAGTTATAACAGTTTTTCTCAAACACTGAAGGAAGGGGGTGCCACAATGAAGGTTGTGCCCCGGTTCGAAAAAATTGTAGATTCGGGGCTGCCTATTCTGATGGTAACTACCAGCACCTATGAGCTGCCACATCAAGGGAATTATAGATAGGTTCATTTAGGATTAAATGTATATTTAATATATGTAACATTCAATCTATTCGGAAATATGTCAGGCTGGTGTTAGTTGCAAAGGTTTTTGTCACGAAGCAGCTGTGCTTGCATGACTATATTTTGGTTTAAAGAGTGTCATATGACGGTGAAATTACAGAGTACGGAGGCATAACCCATAGTCCTCAGGAATGACAATACAATACTTGCTATTCATGTCTAAGGCGACAGTTACTATTAGGCCGTCAGCTTGTTTGCTATTATAAGTATTATAAAAAAATAGGAAGTATTAATTTGAACTAAATAATTTAACGATATATGCAATAGAAAATGCTAAAAGTTTCGATGTTTACTAATACGAAATGCACTTTTAAAATTGATTCTGTTGATATTTTTTAAGCAAATTTTTAAGCTATATTAATTTACAATACCATTAGTAATAAAATTAATACTTACTTCACACATATTACACGAAAATGAGGTATAGGTGGATTGCTTTTCTTAAAATTCTGCACATCTCTATTGTACACATCAAAATCTATACTTAATGTAGATTCATGATGAACAGCTGTATTGTTGGGTATTATACTCAATTTTTTTAGTACTGAAGCCGTATTTGTACAATCTTCAGATTTTATTAAAGAATTTACTTCAAAAGTATTTGATTTTTCAATATCATCTTGAAAAACAGCAGTAGCTACTTCCATACTTTTATAAAATGAGATTTTTATATCTAACCAGTTGTCAAAACAAGACTGGTTCTTTATAAAGTCATATAAAAATTCTTCTTTGTTTGTATTTACAATCCGAAAATTCATCAAGCTCTTTGGAGGTACTTCTGCTCTACCAAAATCACTTTCATTTGGTAACCAATTTTTGTCAAAATATTTTGTGACTAATTCATTATATTTATTTTCATTTTCTTTTGATATTGTTTCATCAATATTACTATGATTTATATTAACTTGTCTACTAGTGCTTGCAATGGGAGTAAATTTATTTTTTTCTGAAAGTTGCTTTAACACATTAAATGGATTTCTCACCATCTTACTTTGAGGAGATGGAATTTCATTAATAATACAGTCAGAATCTGAACTTGAGTCAAGAGTAATATTCCTATTACTCAATATTTCATAATTTTCATTCAGATGTATATCAGCGCTGTATGATTTATTAAACGTTTTGATAATGTTTGATAAAGCTCTCCTATGCCTGGCAGTAGCTATCCCTTTAGTTTCAAGTTTTCCTAATTTTAATGCCATTTCTTTTATTTTTATAAAATTTTCATCAAATGCATTACAAGTTGAATCTAATTTCATTTTTTTGTTCCCTGTATCTTCTTCATCTTCTAATTCAATAGTTTCTAATATGTCATGAACAACATCCAATTCTTCTGTAATTCTTATATTTTCTTTGAACCTTGCGTTGTATGTTTGCGCTAACCTTTGGAGCCAACGAATATTACTTGGTTTTATTTCCCCTATTACGAGTTTCCGCGTTTTCATTTTCATAGCCAATTTTTTTATGTTATTCAAATGGTAAGTTTGGCCGTTGCAACTACTACGTTCTCTAATTCTTTTCCGTGGACTATTTGGTTGGTTAATATTATAATTTGACATATTTGACTGTGGTCTAACGAGTTCGGGAATTCTAGGATAAAACAGAAACCTTGATTGGAGAAAAGGATTATGGAATAATGGCCTTTGGAATGATCTTTGAAAGAATAAACTAAAGTTACAATAGCTAAAATTGAAACGTGGAGTCCAAGCGTTATATTGATTAAATTGTGTGTGTCTTGGAAATTGAGTGTGTCTTGGAAATGAAGTGTGTCTTGGAAATTGAGAGTACCTCGGAAATTGAGTAAAGGAAGGAAAAAATTGTGTTGTATTATTTTGTCTAGTATTCATTACATTATCTATTCTTCTAGCTCCTGTATCTTCATCCATTATACTATATGTTTCTGAATAAGTTGATGGAGGTTGAATATTTTTTGTTTTTATGTTGTATATTTTTAGATTATATTCCGATTTTTTAAGAACAATGTTATTTGGTAAATGTTCTTGTTTTGGAACTTGTACAATAATAGTTTCTTTTTTAAATAAATCAGGAATATTTTCATAATATTTCTGTGTATCCTTCATATAGTGTGGACCATGAATTTTTCTTCTTTTCAGTTTTTGCAGTTTACTTTGACAATTTGCTAATTGTAATGTTATGTTTTCTTTACTTATTTTATTATTAACTGTTGGTGCATCATCTATTTCCATTGAATAGCTTACTTCGGTCTCTAGAACATTTGTTTGCGTTACATTATTGTTTATTATTGTATCGCTAATTTCATTGTATTGAATTTCTTGTTCATCAATCACAGGTTCAGTTACCTCTAATTTATCACTTTTATTGTTTGATAATTTATTTTCAGCATTATCTTCAGTATTAGTTTTACTTAGTTGTTCAGAACCACTCAATTTTTTTATCTGATTTGGTAATGAATTAACATGCCTGAAAACTTTATACCCTAATCTACTAAGGTATGAATAAACTTTATACTGAAGAAGCGCATTTTTTTCACGAAGTAATAATGAATATGCTTGTTGTAATGACACAACAATATCATTATGTTTAAGTAGTAAACAATTCTGAAAAAAAAAAAAATTAACTGTGAAGCTAGCTTTATAAATCATAAGATTTATTGATAAAGTTAGTGATGCTGTAATGGTTGGATATGGTTTTATAGGTATAATATAAATATTATTCGATATCAACCTGACAGTACTAGATAACTTGTGCATACTATTATGCAAAATTCATAACAAAAATCGACCATAAATGGAAAAATTTATAGGGTAATTTGGTACATTGTATAATTGTTTTTGTGCAAACTCATATTCCATCAGTGGTTTGTATGTAATGGAAACATAATACTAAAAAACCGACCAAATTGGATTAGGATTCATGGATCGAGAATTCTGTACAAAACATAATTAAAACAAAACATTTAGCAAAAAATATTTAAAATATAGATAGATATATATTCTTTATCATTTCCTCCAAAAGATTACAATAGTAAACTTATTATAAATAATTACAAGAAATAATCACAATGAGAAAATAATGGGTGACCTTATCGCTAAGAGCGATCTCTTCCAGGCAACCTTTGGATGGAGAGGAGTAATTATAAACAATTTGGTGGGAGGCATGATGAAAAATATATTTGTGACTACAAATTTACAGCTTTCGAATGTTTCCTCTTTTTCTACTTGTGCTGCATAACTTTGTTTCTTGTCAATTTTTATGATTCTAGGTCAATGGTTTTGAATCTCTACATTTCAGTCGTTAACTGTCCTCTGCTGAACAAAAGCCTTTCTCATAAAGGGAGTTTTGCCAGTAGTTGTCATGCTTGGCAGGCATGGCAGGGTTGGCAACCGCAGTTAGGCTTTTAGATATGTTTTAAGAGGGACACTGCTGCTCATCCCTTTACCATAAAGTTCCTTTAGACGACTCTTACAACACCCACAGAAAAGGAAGGGGTGGCCTATTCTATACCAGGATGGACCTTGCAAACCTTGATCTCTTACTATAAATGTCTGTCATAATAAATGCTATAAATGCCCTTATCTTTTGATTGTGTTCACTCAGATGTTTAATTTTGTTTTGAGCTTCAACAGATTGCAAACTTGGTATTTGAGATTAGTTTCCTGGAAAAAAGGATCTTGACAGACAGATAACAAAGGGATCCTTTTAAGGGTTTCATTTTGCCTTTTAGGTATAGAATCCTTAGAAAAATAATAGAATGTTTTTTTTTCTATGATAGATAGAATACAGAGGTAAATAAGAATATAGTTACATGACTGTAAGTAGTTACCATCGCATATTAATGCCTGCAATATCAAAAGCATTTTGTATGTATTCCAACTTGGAATGTATGTTGATTCTTAATTTATGACTTTATATTTGACTTCATTATGTTTATTACTTAATTTTACAGTAAAGTAGATAATGATCAGAGACTAATTTTCGCTTTTGAAATCCGATAGGTTACAGAATTAGTATTAGGACTATGCGAGTCGATTGCAATCGACTAATGATGCGCCTGAACAGTATGTGTTGCAGACATTGAAGAACTTATTTATCAGCTATTTATTCTGAATGATATCCTCAATGACCTCAATGGTTTTTCTCAACAGGTAGGTCTTAAGATGAACATGGACAAGACTAAAATCATGTTTAACATCCATGTCACAGCTATACCAGTTACGATTAAGAACACCTGGGACAAGTTGTCCAAATGGGTAACTTAGACGGACCGAAACATGGTCCTACATGATTGCCCATATGCAAAAGCTTCAAATTACTTAGCAGGCTATGGAGAGTGCTACGTTTGGTGTCTCTTTGCGTAATAGAATCGAATCGAAACGAGGATATTCGCAACAGAACCAAAATAACCGACATAGCCCGAAGGGTAAGCAAGCTGAAGTGGCAATGGATTGGTCACATAGCTCGAAGAACCGACAACTGATGGGGAAGAAAGGTAAATGCAGTGTAGGACGATTCCTCACTAGATGAAGTGACTACCTGAAATGCATTGCAGGGAGTCAGTGGATGCAGGTGGCTTAGGACCCTTCTTTATGGCAGTTTATGGGGGAGGCTTATGTCCAGCAGTGGCCAAACAATGGCTGAAATGATGATGATTTATTCTTTATTTTGATAATACATGACTAATTAAAAAAAAATTAGCAGGGAGCTCACTACATAATCTCATAATGAAACTTACCACTTCAATAAGAAATAAAGCCTCTTCAGGTTTGAGGTAGAGGCATTTATCTACACAATGCCCTAAATACTGCCAGTGGCCACCTGTGTTCTGGGTTACTTCTGCCAGCATCAGGTCCTCCCGCCACTTTGCATGACTTAGCACACCACTGGAATTCATGGGAGAATATAATTTATAACAGGATGTAAATATAAATGCATCTTTAGCTAAAAATGAACATATGCAACAGAAGTATTCTAGAAGTACATTTTAGCAGAAAGATGCTACTGTAGAAAATGTATATCAATTAAGAGAATTTAAAAATAATAAATATTATTGTTGTTGCTCTATAATATACTAAGGACCTAACCCAGTTTCAGTCAGATGGATAGATAGCAAGATTAATTAGATAAAATAGAGCCCATGTTACTTTATCTTTATGCAACATAGAATAGCAAGTGGTAATTGTCACTTATAAACATGAATAGTACCGCAGACAACAGAGTATATTGCTGTAGACTAAGGTGTTGTCTCTGTACCCTGTAAAGTCACTGCCATATCTCACCCTTCAAACCAAAACACAGCCATGCAAACACAGCTGCTTCACGGTAGAATATAAATGGGACAGAGATACCCAAGCAAATGACATTTGTACAAAGTCTCCCTCTGTGTAAAATTCACAGATAATGAAGCATATTGCTTCATTATCTGCGAATTTTAATTTGTACTTTTCTTTAATGAATATCAAATCACTCTTCTTTATAACATTAGATAGATTTTACACAATGTGTGATAGAAAGTATATAAGAACAATACAACCTAGTCTTGAAAATGTTAAAAAAAAACACAGAATAAATTACAGTAAAAGTTGATTTTTAAACATTTTAGATTGAGTTTACTATATCAAATGGCAATCAGCAATCATTAAACATGTTGTTGTTGTAAATCTTTATTATATATAATTTTATTTATTTATTTAAACTTTAATGCACAATAAAATTCTATGTACATTTGGTGGACTTAACACTGGATAGTGTTCTCTACCAGTCAACACACGAAAAATATTTAACATGCAATGGTGGACAGTTCCATAGAGAGATCTCCTACAGTCTACCATTGATAAGATTAAAGAAATTCATAAAATATTTATGTACAGTCAAAGATACAACTTTACATATTTAGATATTATTCTTTCGAGAAAATTATATACATTTAGAAGAACTAACATAAAAAATGAATGATAATTAACAGTGTACATATACAAATATGTACAACAATGAATATCAGTATTTCAGATGGATAAACTGATCAAAATTTTGATATTCGTTGTGTACAATTTTCAAATTCAATAAAATAATTGCACAGATTTCATATATAATTTTTTTGTTCAAAGTAACACATTATATTTATGTAAAAATACTAAAGATCCAAAGTATATAATAAATCTATCATGTAATTAAATTATGTTATATTAAAAGATAATCAAACAACTCATTAAAAATCACTTATTGAACAACTGTAGTTGGTTGCACCTCTAAACTAATATTATTAAGAGGAAACATTATAAAATGTTGATAACTCCTAAAACAGTTTTAAAAAAATATTTATTATAGAATATTAAATAGTTATTTTACCCATAGAAAGCTATATTATCAGCTAGTAATATGGGTTATTTTATATTTAAAAAAATGTGTGCTGTCAAAGCAAGCCCTATTATTTATATTTTACTTAGCCTTAGAAGCAGTTTGTATCAACAAAAATTACATAGCATAATACTTATTTCTGAGCTTTTGAAATGTATTATGATTTTCATCTGTTTTAATAACTGGTTTATTTATTGAAGTTTTTAATCAATAAATAAATCAGTGAGAATTTTTTTTTAAACTACCATCTAATAAGAATAATTCTAATTAACTTACCATTTTTCAATTCTATCTACTTCTATCAACTGTTTTCTTGCTTCTAAAGCACTCTGTATTTGTTTTTGTTCCAGCCACGATCCATTTGATGTGACATCTTTCAAGCCGTGTTCTGGCAAAGAGGCATTCGTTTTCGTTGTTCCTTTAGATACAATTTCCTCGCCACTGTTAATAATAAATAAATTGTATATAGTAGGATAATAGTATTGATGAAAAAATGGTATATGATGGTAATGAACATTGATCATGAACTACTCACGATAATAATCTGGTTTTATTCATAGTAAATTTTACAAGTCCGAAAAGCTAATTATTTTCTATTAACACTGTTGTATTATTAATTACGGAGCATCACTACTATTTCTTTATTTTTATATTAATTTTTGGCATTTTGACCAAATAATAATATTTAAAAATTTTTAGCATTTAAAACAGTAAAATATTAAAATATATATATCTCTCTACAGTTTTTTTTTTTTTATTAATACGTTTTACGGCTCTGAATGCAAATCCTTTTGAGCTCGACATTATAAAGAATTCGCTTAGAATCCACAGACAATGTTGCCAGATGACATTGAGTGTTTAAAAATATTACTAGAATTTTTATTATTCTCCAAGAATTTCTTTTCATCTAAATTACGCAAACAGAAAGTTGCGAAATAAATATCCTTCCTGGCAACATTTTTTATAAATTACAGAGATTATAATTATAGTAAGTACCTAAATCTGAGAACTAGGAATTACATAGAAGGAATGACAAAATTGTCAATTCATAGCAAGCTAGTGTAGAAAAAATGTTACACAGCAGTATAACTTTTTTTAGCCTAAAACCTAATGATTTAAGTAAAGATCAAGAAAATTAGAGTACCTAGGTAGGTTCTAACTCCCAAGTAAGATAACAGGGCCGATTCAGAGGCACCATTTCTTTAAACCTATCTCCACAATTAAAATTTCTATTTGATGATTTTTATAATGATTTTTTTTTATTCTAAGGGCCAATATAAACTAAATTTTTAAGACTTAAGTGAAAATTGTTATAAATTCAGTTTATGACGGTCCGTAAAATAGTAATTTTGCGAAATTATCTAATTGATTTAAAAGGTAGGTTAGAAAAATAACACTTTAGATGCACTTAAAACACCAATACACCCATGGAGCACAATGACAAACAAACTGTCATGTCATTCACAGTGCAACACAATATTGACAGTTGACAGTTTTGATAGATGTCAGATAATGTCAATTTTTTTATTGCATTCAGGAACGCGAAGGTATTATAAAGTCATGTATGATTTTAGATAATAATTTTTTTACCGAAAAAAAAAAAATCTTACCTAGATAATGACCGAAAGAGATTTTGGTTAGTCTTTTTTATTTTATTTGATATTAGATATGATTAATCATTATATCAGCCGTTAACTGTGTATAGATGATATTTTAAGAGGGATACTACTGCCTATCCTTTGGTGATTAAATTTCTTTAGTCGCCTTCACTTTTATAATACTACGGGAAAGGAAGGAGTGGCCCATTCTATGCCGGCACCCCACGGCTATTAATTAATATCTATTAATCCACTACATCTATTATTCTAGGAGATTACTGGATAATATCATAATTTAGTAATACATCAGGAATTAACCACGATGGTTTTTAGGAACTCTAATATACCCTATATTGCTTGCTTACTAGTTAACCTGATTAGCAATATGTAATTTATTGTTAACAAGGGGGTCGTTAGACCATTAAGTATATAAATCTGCACTGAAATCAAATTAACTTAATAATTTTAAATAAGCGCTCGTTTACGGGCGAATGGATTGTTAGTAATGGGATGTAACAGTCCCCATCGAAACCATCGTGGTTAATTCCTGATGAATTGGTTCGTATGGTCAACTGACCTCACTTCATCCTCACATGTAATTTTTCATTAGTACCCCACCAGCGTATATCATTAGCGCAGGCGTGGTTACCATTCTATTAAAATAAAAACCAGTTTTCGCTTGATTTTACATTAAAGCCTTTACATTGGCGTATTTAAGACTATCTAAGGCCCATAATAAAGGAACATCATGCAATTTTTTGCATAGTTAGAAACCTTCTTTCGCATTCTGTAATGGGCATCAGAAAATTTTAGGGTGGCCACGGCCCACTCAGACCTTCCCTAAATACGACTATATTTGGCCTCATTTAAAGTGACTCAATATTCAATAATGATACTTGATCATCATTCAGTGGATATGAATTTACTGTACATATTTTTTATCAATTTAAAGTAGCCTATGTCGAATTCTATTTCATACAGGATGTGTATTTGGAATAAGGGTAGGAAGATATTGTTAGGACGTACCAAAGTTCATAGTGATTGACTAACCGTTAAGAGTAAAGATACAAACTCAACTTTATATTTATAATATTTATCATGATGATAAATATAAATATAAATATCATCATCTTATCAGCCGTTAACTATCTACTGCTGAACAGAGAGAGAGAGAGAGGGGGTAGGGGGAGGGGAGGGGTTGCTATTAGTTTTCACACTTAGCAGGTGGGTTAGCAAATGCATTAAGGCTTTTGAAGATGTTTTAAGAGAGATGCTGATGCTCTAAATCGCCTCTTACGATTAATTAATATAGATATCATTTTTGTATTAATTAGGCATAATTAATACAACAATTGTTATATAGGCGATAATTGCATTTATTTCAATTTGAAATACAGTTTCTATCATAGTCTGAAAACATAGTCTTAATGGAGTCCTCGCCCACGCCCAGTGGCCCACGAATACTCTATTTACATTTGCCTTAAATTGGCGCAGATTATATTTGGATGAAAAAACATAAGCAGGGAGAGAGTTCCACTCTATGACGTGATGAAGAAAGACGCAAAACACTTCATGCAAATAAATGGTAAGTCTACGATGTGAGAGTGGAAGCTCTCGCTCCGTCTTGTAATCCTATGCCACAAGGGTGAAGGAGGAATCAGGTCATGCAGTTCTTGAAGACCCTGTCCAAAATGTATCCTGTAATAATTTTTCATCGTACTTCTAGATGTTAAAATTTGGAATGTTTCCTATGATCTTATGATGATTCCAATCGATCCCTATGCATGAGAGGTATCATGGGCGTTACAAACTCACAATATATTCACATTGTAATGTTCATGGCATTGTTAATGATTGTAAGTTTGTAAACGAGGATTACTACTTTTCATGGAAAGAGATGTAAGCTGCAGCTTGTATATGTATCAAAACTTTTTTATTAAGTTTTCCAAAATATCACGATGATACAACCATTAACTGTCTACTGTTGAACATAGGGCTTCCCCTTAGGGGGGTTTTCCAGTAGTTGCCACGCTTGGCAAGCGGGTTGGCAATTGCAGTTTGGTTTTGGTGATGTTTTAAGAGGGACGCTGCTGCCCTCTACCGTTAAATTCCTTTTGTCGCCTATTACGACACCCACGGGAAAGGAAAGGGCGGCCCATTCTATGCCGGGGCCATACAGTCAGTCACACATTCCAAAATATGTTTAGATCTATTGGAGATTTGGTACAAAAGTCATCTTCTTGATTATCTCTGTCTTACACGTGTTTCTTACCGTGGACCATTTGTTTTTGTATAGCAGTGTAGGGTGACATATTGCAGTGAAATGAAAGGTAAGGAGACATAACAGTATAGTTTTCGGGATTTACAACGCATGGAATCTACCATAGGTACCATGATGTATTCTGTAATGTGCATGATACTTTTCATATCTAAAAGCAGTATCGAAATTTTGTAGGGCAACGTCATTATTCGTAGCTGATCGCTGTCACATGTTTTATGTAAGGGGCACTAGATAGATTACAATCAACTCTGTCTATAATGAAGGCTATCACTTTCTCTCTGATAATCTATCAGTGTTTTGCCATTCAGTCTTAGAAAAAAAGGGATTTATAGTTATTAGTGTACTGCGTATAGCCAGAAATAGAGCCATAAACAGACAAACATTATTTATTAAATATACTGAGATACTAATTAAATTTCACTTATGACGGTAAACTTCAAAAGTGTTAATTTTTCAAAAAAAAAAAAGTAACTTACGTTTCTATATCTATCATGTGCAATAAGCTACATATTATTAAAGCAATAACGTAATAATAGAATTGTAGACGTAAGTTTCTAACATGCTATTGTTGACTACAATTGAATTGAAATCTGCTCGCACTGAAAACAATCGGGACGTGATTGCTGTTTCCTGTACCGTATACAATCTCGGTAAATCAACTAAAATCTATTAACCTCATCTTTGGCGCGACATCGCGCATCAGCAAAACAGCGAAACAATTAAATCGCGTTATCCGACAAAAAAAAGGAAACACTACTATTGCACCCCTGAAGTGAAGTTTAGGGTTATTTCAATTTAGTCGGCTTATAATAACAGAGTTGTAGCGTAGGCTACGAAGTTGTAGACTCGTAGTAGCTACGTTGTAACGTAGCATGTCGGTAGCATGCCTGACGGGTATCGATTAGTACTCCAAAGCCTGGCTGGTCGAAGAAAACCGATGCAAGCCGAACGTGTCCGATGTCGCCCGAAAGCCACGTCCATACATTGCGGAAGTAATGAAATGTACAGAAAGATATGAACCGGAAAAATTGTCGCTCTCCTTTTTCTTCGCGTCGCGTCTTATCCGGGTCCCTAAAAAGGCTTCCTTTGTCGGTTTTTCCTTTCACCACATTTTTCCTTAGGGTAACGAATGGATGTTATATGCAAGACGACATTTTATTGTCCCTCTGTTTAATATTCTTTAACTGTTTATATATTTAAATTTATTTCAATTTGAAACTTTTATTGACATAACTAATAAAGTAAAATAATTATTGAACAAAGGGAACTTGGTAAAAATAGCTAAGTTATGAAAAAACGTTATTAAAATTTAAGTTGATTGGATATAAGTGCATGGCGAGAACTACGATGTCGTTGAGAAGTTTGTCGCGTTACGAGCGCAATCGGCGAGGGTTGGAAGCGATTTAACGTATTGTAATGCAAGTTTGTACGAGGTGCTTGCCTCCCCCACAGTTGCGACGCCTTGCCGCTGCCATGGCTCAACGACTATAGTCGTCTTTTCAAGCACGCCGACGCCGGCCGGCATTGATTTTAATTCTCATTTTCTAAATTTGAAATTACAAAATTCGAATAGAAATCAACTGATGTCTGTTCATGTGGCCTAGCCGGCGATCGAAGGATGGGGATGGGGTGGCGCGCCCCGGATACGTACGATGTTATTTATGGTATATTTTGACGTGCGCGTTCGCTGCTAACTTCAAGTCGCGTAGGATAATGGGGTGATGGATAGTGTTATCGGTTGCTATTCACGGTGAACCGTGTTCAAATCGTGCTTTTATTATTGCCGTGTGTCGTGGAAAACCCAATAACATTACCGATTTACATAAACCGGTGTTCTTTCAGTGCTTTTAGACGTTGCGCCTACCGGCTTTTCATTGAATGCGGATTTTTTCTACTGAATGGACTGATCTTGGTTAATGTTTATCTGTCTGGAGAATAATTTTCATTATTATTTGAATAAAAGTGATGTGTTGTTATTAAGTTATTATCCATGTGATCTGCAGTAAATAGTTCCACATTTTAAACACAATTAATTCTTCAACAAAATTAGCAGGTAAGTTTATTGGAAATAAAGAAAACATTAACTAGAATTATATATATTATTTAGGAAATGTTTAATTTTTTGTGACTGAATTATGTTTTTATTTTATCAATTTTATTTCAATTATTTTTTTATAATTTAACAATCTTTTAAATTTAATATTAAAGATTTAATATTTTTCCTTAATATTTTATTTGAGTAAATTAGACGACTTGATAGGACTGGACCAAAATAAGTTAAATTTAAAATGCGAATAGCGCCATCTAGTGATAAATTATTACAACGATTGTTAGTACTTGCTTTTTCCACTACTTGTGGCGCCAAAGTGTCAGCCGGCGACACGCCTGCAGTCACGCGGCGTTGACGCGCGTCGCAGCATGTTTGCGTGGGTGTAGATCGCTTCGTGATAAACAATCTCTGTTTTTATATTTTATCAGTCAAGTGTTTAAAATAAGCAGTTTTGTGAAAGACCAGCATGAACGTCACGTCCCGTGTTAAACAATTTGTGGTTAGTGTGGAATAAATGAGAGTGTTGCGTCTCTGTGTGTGTTTTGTTGTTACTGCGTCCGGAGGCAGGATTTTAGCCGTGTAGTTGAAGGTCTAGGGCCGGCATGAGAAAAATAAACGGTGAGAATCAGCTGGAAATTCTTATAGGAATATTTTTGCATATTGCATTAACTATATAATGTAAAGAACTCTTACCTACTAACATAGAGATAAGACTTATATATGAAAACAGTCACCGGGTTGTGGTCAGAGATAATGAATTTAAAAACATGCAAAGATCGCTCATTAACTCTGTTATAATAAAATGATAGCTTACAGATAACCTTTTTGCATGACTGTGAAGATAGTAATAGCGCATACCTCATCATAATGTAGAGAGCATTCATGAGGGTGATTTTTTTTTTAAATATTCAGAATCATGTCCAAGTCCTATAAACAATCAGATTATACTTAGTTTAAAATCTGGTATTCTAATTACAGATAATAAATAGTACCGAATACCTATTTTAATCACCTACAAAAGAGAAAGTGTCAAGTGCTCCAGTTTTTGTCCAGTCTAATATCTATAAAAACTTACTACCTAGTGTAGGCATGACTAGATAAGATTGCTCAAGGGAGGAAAAGCAGGATCGAAATCATTAACCATAACAGATCTCATACAAATGGTCCATAAAGGTAATCCGACAATGTTTGATGGGTCGCCGCTATACCGCCAAGGCGTTGGATTACGAAATTGCCAGTCGTACAATCAACGAGGTCGACTCACATCAACATAGTTTGTCGCCTTGTGAATGTAAACAATAACTGATTTGAAGATTGCATTACTCTATGCTGTTCTATTTAGTCACTATGAATCGAAGTAGAGTTAATCAGGATCTTTGAAAATCGTTGCCTTTATGTAAAGTAGCATAAGATAAAGTGCTGATAAAAAATCTACCTCGTGTTACCCTAAGGAATTTTAATCCGTATAGAAAGCATATAATCTTTTATGAGCTTTACCTCTTTAATTTCTGTGACATCAACGGATGAGACACGTTGGGAGGCCTGCGAGGCAGTTGCTACAAGATTTATTGTTTAATTATTGCGACACAGACAGCGCGGTATATCTATTTGTTTTAATAACATGCTCGAACGAAGACCCATTTAGAAAACGAGTATCAAGTATTACAGCGAGTTGTAACAGTAGGTAATAACAGTTGATAAACCTACACATACGCTCTCTATAAGATACTGATTAAAATAGACATAGTCTATGATGAGAGCGAATGAAGTTAATTTTATCTGTTTACGGTTTACATCGAAATTACGGGATTCTGACGATCCGAGGAAGTGCTGGAATAAGATGTAAGGGTCATCGTCCGAAGCTTAGTTAATATGCTTGCACGTTGTGGCAGAAAATCAAATAAACAGTCGCTTTCATCTCGTTTATCGGCGATGCACTTCGTAGCCTTGCACTTTGTTTGTGTACTCAACTGTTCACTTGAGAAAGGCATTACTCATAAAAACATAAGGCTAACGCATCAATAGCGTTTAATATTAACGAATCCATTTCTAATGAATGTTCAACAGTATAAAGTACTATCAGTAAACTTGTTTTTGTGTTTAATATTAAAAATTTAATTTACGTAGTTCGGCCATAAACACTTCATTAACAACTGGATTTCTTAAGTCTTTATTTCCTAGCTGCTTCGATCTTATGTTCGTTTGTTATTCTTTAACCACTAAAACAATTTCAACAATCATACGTCTAATATCCGATAATGTCTCTATTGATTTTACCAGTGGTTCGGCAGCACTCCAATATTGACAATGAGCGGTAGTTTAGACGCTTCTACGTGCCCCGAGAGTTGATGAGCAGCCTACGTGACTCCCAGTTCATTGCTCTAGTTTTTTGCCACTTGATCTTGTGAATGAGTTTGCAGACCTTGGCTTAAGACAAGGATCTTTGACAGGATTTATAGCTACAAAAACACTTTACGCGTGCTCGGACATAGTTCGCACATAATGAAGTACTTCATGTCTTCAGTGACAGTAATACCTCGGGAAACTCGGGTATTATTTATAGTCCCACTTCGCTTATTTGTGGAAAAACTGTCCTGTAACATGTTGTATTGAATTATCACTTTCAACTGCTCGTAAATCACTCCCCATGATCATTGAATGCATCTACACGTGTTTAGTATACTGTTGACGTAGTGAATGCTGATTTTCAATACATTAGCAGTAGTTGTGGTGTCAGAGCACGTGATTGGCATGCTGATTGAAATCGCACGTCTGTCACAAATTGTCGCTCCAATTCGCATGTGATAGGAATATACTTATCTCTCTAACAAATAGAATGTAATGCATTCTCCACACACCACCCAGAGAAGCTAATGATACAAGATTTCCTTTTTATTTACAGTAGCAGTTGCCATATTGTGTTTGGTGCGTTAATGAAGATAACATCATTTATATTCTCAATCTAAAGCGCAGGTAAACGAGTCTGCTTGGTGGCTCGTTTACCTCCAGAGGGTGGTGTGATATATTCAGGGCCCATTTAAATATTCCCAGGGGTGATAAGGGGAAGGGATGCGCACCGGTTAATCAAGTAACGTGATCCATTTATCTGGAGCACTCTTGATATGGTGTCGGTGAACTTTGGAATATTGTAAGCTCATTTGGGGTTGTGATTCTGAGCTGCGGAAGCAAAGTTAATAGATAAACTGATTTTAAACTTTGACATTTATCGTATGTTAGTATGAATAGACATTTTGTTTATTATTTATGACTATTATTAACTATTGGATTATACAGTTGCACTGCCTTATACCTTATTATTATAAAGGCCTTAAGTTTAAATAGTAGATAGTCTAGATTCTAAGGTCGAACCTATTTTTTATTGTCATTATATTGAATTGTCCGTAATCGATCACCTCCAAATACCGGATGTGAGTTACATTTTTTTTTCTTTATTGTGCCTACTTCTGTTCCTAAGATTATATGAATGAATGGGTGTGTGCGTGTATACTATTATTTATTTATAATTATTATTGTTAAAACTATTACTTTTTATTTATTGTTTCATATTGTCTTAATAAAAACAATATCAATTGGTTAAAATATTCATTGGGATGCATCTTGATCAAGGAAGGGTATAGACAAATTTTATTCAACAATAAAGCACTGACTCTTACTGTGGCAAAATCAGTTATTTTATTTTTTAAAAACCATGTTACTGACACCAATTTGATGCTTCTGATGTGATTATTTTAAATGTTACAATTAATAAGATTAATTGATGTAGATATATTTTATAAACAATTAAATATAATTCTTATACTTCAAGGATTACTTTAACATTTTCTTTAGATTTTGCTGGATATTGATGGTATTCTATAGATTGTATTGCAGAGAAATTGGAAACAACGTCGGTAACTCTGGTACTGCATTTGCCTCGTTTTACTGCATTCGATCTATTTACGGTTTTATGAACGGCGATAAACTTGGAGCGCGTTGAACCATGCACCGGGAGCCCAGCAAGCAATAGTCTGAATTTATATTGACTACCTTCGTGCCGTTGATTGGTTGTTACTCTGTTAACCGTGACTGATAATGTTCTAAAAAAGTAGAAAGATCAAATAGCCAACTCTATTTTATTTATTGCTATAATAAAGAAATATGTCAGTACTACGATTAAATGATAAATTTCTGTAAAAAAAAAAATACAAACTTAATTTTCGTTTAAACAGAACACACACAGTTTGATTACATTCACGATAAAAATAAAATAATCAAAAACAGCATTAGCGAGCCAGCCAAAATATAAGCAATGAAAACGGATTCCACGTATCTAGGTATTAAAGGGTTCAAGAGAAATTTATGTGGTCTGGTGACCGTTAGCGTATTTAGTAGTGAAATTGCATGCAAATTCCAAATCCCGGATAAAGTATTGATCTTGTCTAACCTAAACGTCAGATGAGGTTTTCGTTCATGTAATCTATTTTTCTATATAAATAAAAATGAATTGCTAAAAGTGTTGTTAAGCACAAAACTTGAGACAAGTTGGATCAATTTGATAATTTTTTAATAATATTTTTGAACTTCGAGGAAGGTTCTTATAAAGAGAAAAAATAGAAAATAGCCTAAGTAAAAGTAAAAAGCCCATTTTTCTTTTTCTCGTACAAATTGTTCTTTTCTGCCATTTCTTTCAGGCATTTCAATCAATAAGTTAACAGCACGACACCTGTCGAGTTAATTGGTCTATCTGTATAAATAAAAATCAATTGCCGAATGTATGCGTATCACTTCAAAACGACTGTATCTATTTGTACAATTCTTTTTTTTTTTAATTTGTAATTGCTAGAATAAGATTTGTATGAAAGAAAATGTTGGAAAAAATGTACGGAAAAGTGAAAGATTTATGTTGAAAAGATGAAAGATTTGGTCTCATTTTCTTCATTAGTATACACGTAAAAAGTTGAAACGGGCAGTAAGTTTATAATAAAAGAAAAGGCGAGTCCTTCTTGAACAGGCTTGCCTGCGTCCACGTGACCTTTGTAGAGTTGCATCGAACAGGATTTGTTTTTGTAAAGTTGTTAAAAAAACTAGACATCGCGTATCAGTATATCAGTAATCTACACCTGTTGCTGCTTGACATTTAAATTGTACATTTTTAATGACTCAATTAAAAGTATGGTTACATAAATCGAACTAATATATTTGTTCATTATTTTTATTAAATTTAATATATACGAGTACCTACATAAAACATAAAAGAAAGGCTATATATAACAATAATGAGTATAATGAATTTCATGAAACGTTAAAATCTTTGCCGCCGTATAATCTCGCCATAGAATAGGCCACCTCTTCTTTCCCGTGGGTGTCGCAAGAGACAACTAAGGGAGGGCGACCAATAGGCAGCAGCGTCCCTCTTAAAATATCTCCAAGGACTAACTACGGTTGCCAATACTTCTGCCAAGCATGGCAACTACTGGCAAAACCACCCAAGCTGGCTTATGTTCATCAGTAGACAGTTAAAGGCTGATATGATTTGCTTTTTCTTAAGTACTTATATTTATAGCATTGATTATGGAACTCGCGCGCTTATATTACGATCTAAGGGAAAAAATTAACTT